CAGTACTGGAGGTCCTGGCCAGAGCAATCAGGCAAGAAAAAGGAATAAAAGGAATCCAAATAGGGAGGGAAGAAGTGAAACTCTCACTGTTTGCAGACAACATGATCTTATATATAGAAAACCCCAAAGAATCCATTGGAAAACTCTTAGAAGTAATCACCAACTACAGCAAAGTTGCAGGGTATAAAATCAATTTGCATAAATCAGTACCATTTCTATATTCTAATAACGAACTAACAGAAAAAGAACTCAAGAACAAAATACCATTCACAATCGCAACAAAAAGAATAAAATACCTTGGGGTAAATTTAACTAAGGAAGTGAAGGACCTATATAATGAAAATTACAAAGCCTTTCTGAGAGAATTGGACCATGACATAAGGAGATGGAAAGACATTCCATGTACATGGATTGGAAGAATAAACATAGTTAAAATGTCCGTTCTACCTAAAGCAATGCTACACCCCAATCAGAATCCCAATGGCATTCTTTACAGAATTAGAACAAAGAATCCTAAAATTCATATGGGGCAACAAAAGACCCTGAATTGCTAAAGCAATCCTGTGAAAAAAGAACAAAACGGGAGGCATCACAATCCCTGACTTCAAAACATACTACAAAGCTACAGTAATCAAAACAGCATGGTACTGGTACAAAAACAGGTGCACAGATCAATGGAACAGAATTGAAAGCCCAGAAATAAAACCACACATCTATGGACAGCTTATCTTCGACAAAGGAGCTGAGGACCTACAATGGAGAAAAGAAAGTCTCTTCAACAAGTGGTGCTGGGAAAACTGGAAAGCCACATGTAAAAGAATGAAAATTGACCATTCTTTTTCACCATTCACCAAAATAAACTCAAAATGGATCAAAGACCTAAAGGTGAGACCTGAAACCATAAGGCTTCTAGAGGAAAACGTAGGCAGTACACTCTTTGACATCAGTATTAAAAGGATCTTTTCGGACACCACGTCTTCTCAGAGAAGGGAAACAATAGAAAGAATAAACAAATGGGACTTCATGAGACTAAAGAGCTTCTTCAAGGCAAATGAAAACAGGATTGAAACAAAAAAACAACCCACTAACTGGGAAAAAATATTTGCAAGTCATATATGTGACAAAGGCTTAATAACCATAATATATAAAGAACTCTCACAACTCAACAACAAAAAAATCAAACAACCCAATCAAAAAATGGGCTGGAGACATGAACAGATATTTCTCCAAAGAAGATATTTGGATGGCCAATAGGCACATGAAAAGATGCTCATCATCACTGATCATCAGGGAAATGCAAATCAAAACTATACTAAGATATCACCTTACACCCATTAGAATGACAAAAATATCTAAAACTAATAGTAACAAATGTTGGAGAGGTTGTGGAGAAAACGGAACCCTCATACATTGCTGATGGGAATGCAAACTGGTGCAGCCACTATGGAAAAACAGTATGGAGAGTCCTCAAAAGATTAAAAATAGAACTACCATACTATTCCACCAGCTATTCCACTACTGGGTATCTATCCAAAGAGTTTGAAGTAAGCAATTCCAAAAGTTCTGTGCACCCCAATGTTCACTGCAGCATTATTTACAATAGCCAAGACATGGAAGCAACCTAAGTGCCCATCAACAGATGAATGGATAAAGAAGATGTGATATATATAGACAATGGAATACTACTCAGCTGTAAAACAGAACAAAATCATTCCATTTGCAATAACATGGATGGACCTTGAGGGAATTATGTTAAGTGAAATAAGCCAGTTACAGAAGGATAATCTCTGTATGACTCCACTCATATGAGGAAGTTAAAAATGTGGACAAAGAGAACAGATTAGTGGCTACCAGGGGAAAGGTGGGGTGAGGGGTGGGCACAAAGGGTGAAGTGGTGCACCTACAACATGAATGACAAACATTAATGTACAACTGAAATTTCACAAGATTGTAACCTATCATTAACTCAATAAAAAAAATAAAAATAAAAGAATGATATCTGTGTACCATGTGATGCAGTTTGATAGCATTTTACCCACAGTAGAACTTCTTTCAAAATTGGAGTCAATTCTCTCACACTCTGCCATTGCTTTATCAACTAAGTTTATGTAATATTCTAAATCCTTCGTTGTCATTTCAACAATCTTCACAACATCTTCACCAGGAATAGATTCCATTTCAAGAAACCACTTTCTCTGCTTATCCATAAGAAGCAACTCCTCATCCGTTCAACTTTTATCATGAGGTTGCAACAATTCAGTCACATCTTCAGGCCCCACTTCTAATTCTAGTTCTCTTGCTGTTTTCACCACATCTACAGTTACTTCTCCCACTGAAATCTTGAACCCCTCAAAGTCGTCCATGAGGGTTGGAATCAACTTCTTCCAAACTCCTGTTGATCTTGATATTTTGACCTCTTCCCATGAATCACAAATGTTCTTAACCGCATCTAGAATAGTGAATCCTTTCCAGAAGGTTTTCAATTGACTTTGCCCAGAACCATCAGAGGAATCTATCTATGGCAGCTACAGTCTTATGAAATGTATCTTTTAAATAATAAGACTTGAAAGTTGAAATTACCTCTTGATCCATGGGCTGCAGAATGGATGCTGTGTTTGCAGGCATGAAAACAACACTTATCTCATTGTATATCTCCGTCAGAGCTCTCGGGTGACCAGGTGCATTGTCAATGAGCAGTCATATTTTGAAAGGAATCTGTTTTTCCTGAGCAGTCAGTCCCAACAATGGGCTTAAACTATTCAGTGAGCCATGTTGTAAACATGTGCTGTCATCCAGGCTTTGTTGTTCCATTTATGGAGCACAGGAACAGTAGATTTACCATAATTCTTAGGGGCACTAGGATTTTCAGAATGATAAATGAGCATTGGCTTCAACTTAGTCATCAGCTGCATTAGCCTGTAACAAGAGAGTCAGCCTGTCCTTTGAAGCTTTGAAGGCAGGCACTGACTTCTCCTCTCTAGCTATGAAAGTCCAGGATGGCATCTTCTTCCAATAGAAGGTTGTTTCGTCTATATTGAAAATCTGCTGTTTAGTGTAGCACCTTCATTAATGATCTTAGCTAGATCTTCTGGATAACTTGCTGCAGCTTCTCCAGCAGCACTTGCTGCTTCACCTTGCACTTCCATGTTGTAGAGATGGCTTTTTTCTTAAACCTCATGACCCAACCTCTGCTAGCTTCAATATTTTCTTGTGCAGCTTCCTCACCTCTCTCAACCTCCACAGAATTCAAAGGAGTCAGGGCCTTGCTCTGGATTAGGCTTTGGCTTCAGGGAATGTTGTGGCTGGTTTGATCTTCTATCCAGACCACTAAAACTTTCTCTGTGTCAGCAATAAGGCTGTTTTGCTTTCATATCATTCGTGTGTTCACTGGAGTAGCACTTTTCATTTCCTTCAAGAACTTTTCCTTTGCATGGCACAAGAGGCCTAGCTTTCAGCCTGTCTCAGCTTCCAACATGCCTTCCTCACTAATCATTTCTAGCTTTTGATTTAAGGTGAGAGACGTGTGACTCTTCCTTTCACTTGAACACTTAGAGGTCATTGTAGGGTTATTAAGTGGCCCAATTTCAAGGTTGTTGTGTCTCAGGGAATAGGGAGGCTGGAGGAGAGGGAGAGAGATGGGGGGATGGCCAGTGAGTGGAGCAGTGAGAACGCACAACATTTATTGATTAAGTTCACTGTCATATATGGGCGTGGTTTGTGGCACCTGAAAACAATGATGATAGTAACATCAAAGATGACTCATCACAGATCACCATAATATAATAATGAAAAAGTTTGAAATATTGCTAGAATTACCAAAATGTGACACAGAGACATGAAGTGAGCAAATGCTGTTGGGAAAATGGTGCTGACAGACTCGCTTGACAAAGGGTTGCCACAAACCTTCAATTTGTAAAAAGTGCAATATCTGCGAAGGACAATAAAGTGAAGTGCAATAAAATGAGGTATGCCTGTGCTCCATTTGTTCAGTGAATTTCTCAGACTGTTTTTCCAAAGCCTGTTTTCCTTGTTGTACATGGTCATTGAAGTCTCTGTTCCTTAGTTTGTTTTCTACTAGTATTTTGACAGAAATTTCCTTGAACACCAGTAGCTAAACAAATAAAGACAAAAACAAAAAGAATACTCTTCCATACTGGCAGTCTGGTTCTGTGCACAGATACTCCCTTAACACTTAGCCAGGCTTGCACCAAGCCTAGCTATTAGTCTGAGGGCTAATATTTCAGCCTAAGCTGAAAGCTTAGAGATTTCTCAGGTCTTTTTAGAGCATAAGCATCTTGCCTTGCGCATCTGCAGGGCTTCCTAAATTCCCCTGTATTCACGGGGCTTTTCAGTGCCCTAGTTTCCCAAAGAATCTTTCCTCAGCTTTTGTTCCTGGGCCTTACGTGGTCTGTCGTAAGGTTTCAGCATTAATCTTTTGCCCCAGCTATCTGCAGGTTATTAATTGGGCTTGCAATATTTTCAAGCAATGCCTGTAGCTCTCTGGCTGAGTTCTGAGTTAGACAAAACAGAGATGTGTGCCCTGCACAAATCCTTCAGGGAGCCCCCAGACAGGTTACAACAGACACACACAATTTGTGAATAAGGTCTGCTCTGCTGCCTCTGGAATCAGGACTCACACTGGAAATGTTGGGACCCTTCAAGACTGCCATTGCACCAGGGAGGTGTTGGGGCAAGGGCAAATAAAAATACTCTAAAGATTTCCTACTGCTTTGAAGTCACCTCTTTCTTGACTCAGTGTTCACTCAGTTGCTGCAAATCTCTTATTATTTTCCAGAGTCTTGGCCAATTTGGTTCTGACAGATTCTGCTTGCTTTTTGATGTTTCTTTGTGGGGACAGGAACTTGGAGCTGCTTACTCTGCCAGTTTGCTTACCCAAAATTTTAAATTTTGAAACGAAATTTTAAATGTTGGCAGCCAAAGATACTAAGGATTTAAAAGACTTATATGCCTAGCAGATCAGGTTACTTTTTATTACATACCATTGGAGTGCGATGTTTCACTTTGGTCTGGATAACACCATCTTTTTCGAACTGTATCATATCATTAAGGGGGTCCCATGGTCGGGTACTAGAAAATGAAAAAAAAGCCACTTGTTTAATAACTAACTGAAAGCTTTTTCAAAAACTTTCTATTTGATTAGATTTTCATTAGTAATTATAAACCTAGCTTAAGATTTAGGTTTGTCATATCTAATCTTCTGAGCCTCAGCTTATTTTAAGGCTAACTACTATCATGGAGTTAAATTTATAATAAATGAAACATCAAATTTAAAATCTCATACTAATTTATATATATGACAATAAAAAAACTAACAATAAAAATTCTAGAAATGAAGGCAACACACTATGCTGACATATGTTTGTAATATATTCAATTACTTACTCTGCAAACTTGTAATGCCATTCTCCTGTGAGTGGATCCAGTTCAAATAACTTGCAAGTCCACTCTTCATTTTTCGTTTTCCGATCTCTGGCAGCTTGTCTTTGAGCTTCTTCTAAGACATATTTCTCTTGAGTAGCTTCTGTTTGGTCTTTGGCATTTATGGCTCGAGTTACCCGCTGCCAGAGTCTAATACGTGTACAAAAATAGTATTAAAACAACAGAAAATCAACTCCATATAGAATAGGCTTGAATCCCCTTGAGAAGAAAATGATGCCCATGTGGGTTTTTGGCTTTGACAAAGTTCTTGCTCAGATGCTTAAAAATGAGTCCAGATGTAACAAGTGGTGCCATGAGTAGAGAGATACAATGGAGACTAATTTTTTTTATTGGCAAGAGCAATGTATTACATGGGTTCTTGAATGTATGGCAATGAATGGTACTGACCCAAGATGACAGGAGTGTAATGAAGGCTCAGGAATCTACATTTTTAACCAGTTCCCCAGCTGATTCTTCTACATACTGTTTAAGATCCACTGGACTCAAAGATCCAACAGTGTAATGCCAGGCTTCTCGACCTTGGATGCAGCAATTATCAGGGAACTTTTAACAGGATCTCTGGGGGTGGGCCCAAGTATTTTTTTAATGTTTCCCGGATAATATTAATGTGTAGCCAGAGTTGAAAACTACTTATTTAACAAGAAAAGAAGACTGAGGTAAAATCTTCCCACCTACTCAAGTTTAGTTTTTTATCAGATAAATAAAACTGTATCTATCTTCCACCTATCTGGGAAGACAGCATGTTGGGAGTGAAAGAACAAAGGCTTTGGAATCACGTAGGCTTGGGTTAAATACTAGATCTGCCACTGTTTGGCTGGTGAATTTAAAGTTACTTATCCTACGACTTGTTTTCTTCATCTTTTAAAAGATGTTAAATTATAGCCACACCTCAAAAATTGTTGTCTAACTTGGCAAAGCTTCGCTCTGGACAGAGAGCATCACGTGATTACAGCTGAAACAAAATTTTTAGAACTGGCGCATACCTATTCTTCCATCTTTGACCACCTCAACTTTGAGTGTAGAAGGAAAGTACATATAGACTTGAATCCCCGTGAGAGAGAATGATAATGCACGTGGGAACGTGTAATGAGGACTAAACTATGTAATGTGTATAAAGTACCTAGCATAGTATCTTTTACACAGACGCCTCCTTCTCCTAACACAAAGAGATATAATAAGAATAAAATTGTGCAATGTGTATAAAATATTTCTGGTTCCAAAGTATTAGAGATACAGCAAGAATTTCATGATTTAAGAACAGAAACTATGGCCTTAATTATTACCCAACTAATGTAAATTCTATACAAGCTTGCACATCTAGCACCATTCTTGTATCATGGAAAATAAAACAAAAGTAGATTTTTGCACCACTCCCTTCACCTAGAGTTCTACATGCCTAACCCAGGTTAGAAAACAGCTGCCAGAAAAACCAAGAATCACTACTTAGTCCCATAATTTCATGCAAACAAAATAAAAGTTTTTTTTTAAATAGGCCCTGGAATAGGTTAGAAGAGAAAGGAAAAAATGGGGAGACTTAGTTCTGAGCTGCAGAAAAGCAGCATGATTTGTATTTCACGTATACAAAACAGAATCCTGTCGCATCCCACAAATGTTAAACTATTTTTCCAGATTCAAATATGACTGAAGACAGAGAAAAGTGACCACACTATTGAGGGACTGAAAAAATAGTCTTTGATTATCATGAAGGTAGCTGAAAAACGGCACACTTACTTCTCTGATTCGAAATCTTCCTGCTCTTCAAATTTTACAGTGTGTCTTATTAATCTCCATTGTTTAATGTCTGGTGTTGGATTCCAGAAAACCTCTGAATTATCGGTCTTTTTCTCATTAATAAAAACTTCACTATCCTATATTTAAAGGAAATTAAAAGGGGTTACATAGTATAGTAATATAATAATACCTAATACTTTCTTCCTGATACCTAATCCCACAAACACATTTTTAAAACAAATATAACTAGCACTTTCCTAAAAGCCCCAAATCTCTTGTCATTTTTAGAAAAACATTAAGATTGAATATGCAACACTAGTCATTTTAAAATCTGAGTGAATACACAGGAAGTTCATAGATTCCACAAGCTCTGCTTAATAACCTATTTCAAGCAATTCCGTGCAGAGCCTCCAGACCATCTCCAAACTGTCCAAGCAGAGCACAGTGTTTGCCGCAGCCACAGGGAGGTGCTGGGACCGCCTGCGACTCACTGTATGTAGAAAAACCAGACAGAGCCTTTCTTAGCATTGTAAATCTGAGCACAATCTTAGAAATTTCATTTTTTAAAAAAGACTTTTTATCTTTTTCCCAAATGCTATTGAGATAGAAGTAAAATTACAGAGCATATGTGGCCTCTTCGTTGAATTTCTAGATCAAGTTTCATTTTCTTATTATATTTCTCCTCATTTTCTGCTTATTATAATGCAGAAAACAGCATACAGTCGGTGTTCACAGTCAGAGTACGTCAAGGCAGTCGCCTGATAGGATCCTTTTTATTCATTTAACCTCCTCTTCACAAAATTACATACATGTGAACTCAGGTCGGCAGAGAAGTAAATAAAAGCCATTGCTCTCATATACCACTATTTTCCTTTCCACGCTCCTCAGAAGGAAGTATACCTCTAACTGGAAATGCCTCTTCCCTCCAGGTGAGAGGCAGTACACTGCTGTGCGTGCAAGCACAGCCCTCGAGCCAGAGTGCCTGCCTGGGATTCTTGCTCCACCTCTTACTTAGAGCAAATTATTTAAACTCTTGGTGCCGCAGTGTCCTCCTTTGTAAAATGGGGACAATAACAGTACCCACCTCATAGGGTTATTATATTAAATACTAAATGAGTTAACATGAGGAACATTTTTAAACAATGCACCTAATAGTAGGTGATATATAAGAGCTAGTTATTTTTATTGATTTCAAGTTTTGGAAAGATAAAATATTACATAAAACTAAACATTGCTGATAACAGATCAACACCAAAATATTTGTTAAGCTGAAGCTTATGTTGAATAGTGATGCTTTAAGCAATGAAACAAGTGAGCTTATGAAATTATTGTTAATTTTTTCCCACAGAATAAAATTCTTTTGTAAAGCTAAAATATAAAAACACTTACCCAATGGCCTTCCAAAGTAGCTAGGACTTCTTTCCCCAATTTAAGTTTCCCTGATATTTGATTAACACAGTCACTACTACCTAGAAATGGCTTTCAAGAAAGAAAATGTTAAAGAGACGTTTTACTTTTAAGTTATATTTACATATAATATAGACAAATAACAACAGAAAAAGTTAATTGTTTAGTTACAGTGCTGCTGACGGCACAAATGGTGAAATATTGACTCCAATTTTAGTCAGAAATGTTCAATAAAAAGAAATTTGAGGGGCCAGCCCTGTGGCCAAGTGGTTAATTTCACACACTCCATTTCAGCGGCCCAGGGTTTCTCCAGTTCGGGTCCTGTGAGGGGACCTAGCACCGCTCATCAGGCCATGCTGAGGTGGTGTCCCACATAACAGAACTAGAAGGACCTACGACTAGAATATACAACTATGTACTGGTGGGCTTTGGGGAGAAGAAGAAAAAAAAGGACTGGCAATAGATGTTAGCTCAGGGCCAATCTTTAAAAAAAAAAAAAAAGAAATTTGAATTTGTTGCTGTGGAAAAAATAGGTAAAAACAGACAATGTGAAGTCCGAATAAACATGCTGAAAAGATCACACTGATGTAACTGACTCAGGTCCTGTACTCTCTTCTGACTCAAGACTGTAGTCTGTCAATGTCACAATATATTAAGCAACAGCAACTCAGTACACGTAAGGGACTTAACTCATCTGTTGAAAGAAATAACACCCCCTCCTTCAAAACGAAACAGTAAAACAATACCCAACCCAAAGGACCCTCCAAAAAATAAAATTAGAAGGAACAGACTTTGAGTTACTACAGTGCCTTACTGATGTCTCTCCTCAGTGACAAAATTTTGATGCTCCAATCTAATCCTTAAAGGCATCATAAATTACTTAAGACCTCTTTAGTCATGATTTTCAAATATCATTATGACCATACAAGTAAAAACTCTGCTAAGATGAAAAAAAATCAAACAAAGAGCACTGCATCCAATAATACTTAAAAGAGATCTTTTTTATTCGAGCAAAGTTGCTGATCGGCTGGACATCAACATAGGAGCAATTTTTAGTAATAAACATCAAATAGTTCATAGAAATATTTTTATCTGAACACAATGTACTATCTTGCACCAACAATTGACACTGTGAAAAGGTCTTAAACTTGCCTTTCACTCTGAGGGAGACAGGATTTTCCAAAGATGGTCTCAATCATATCTATCCTTCCCTCTCCAGCCCACATGCTCTTCCTCAATGAGACCCTGCCATCTTCCCATTGAGTAGTAGGGTCTACATTCCTTTCCCTTGAATTTGGGTAGGTTTTATAACTCTTTAACCAATAGAGGATGGTGGTGATGTAATTTGACTTCTGAGGCTAGGTCAAGGATGGCAATGCAGCTTTTGCCTTGCTCACAAGGACACTACTTGCACTTGGACCCCTGAGCTGCCAAGTTAAGAAGTCTGACTACCTTGAAGCCGCCATGCTGTGAGGAAGCCAAGCCACATGGAAAAGCCACGTATACAGGTGCTCAGCTCAGCAGTCCTAGTCTTTCAGTCCCAACCCAGGCATCAGACAGGTGAGTGATGAGCCTTCAGATGATTCCAGGCCCCAAGTGTCAAGTCAGTAGTACCCTGCAAATCTTCCTAGCTGAGACCCCAGACATTACGTAGCAGAGACAAGCCATCCCCAATACGCCCAGTCCAAATTTCCGACCCAAAGAACACTGAAGGATCAAAACATGGTTGTTTTCAAGCTTGTGAGTTTTAGAGTAAACTGTTAGGCAGAAATAGTAACTAATACAACTCTGTCTTACTGTACACAGTAAGCTGATACATACTTTCTGGTACTCTGTAAAGCAATGGTTTAATTTACTGAAAAATTTCTATCCATTCACTTCTTAAATCTCATCTCCTATATAATACCAACAGTATTTTTTTTTGAGGAACATTAGCCCTGAGCTAACTGCTGCCAATCCTCCTCTTTTTGCTGAGGAAGACTTGCCCTGAGCTAACATCTGTGCCCATCTTCCTCCACTTTATATGTGGGACGCCTACCACAGCATGGCTTGCCAGGCAGTGCCATGTCCACACCTAGGATCTGAACTGGCGAACCCTGGGCCGCCGAAGCAGAATGTGCAAACTTAACCGCTGCAGCACCAGGCCAGCCTCAATACCAAGAGTTTTATTAATTAAAATGAAAAACAAAAAATGACTGCTTTGTGTTGATTTGTATCTTCCAGGGCCACCCTTGCATGAATTCTGTGTTCTTATAGTCTTCAGTTAGGAACTGAACTGGCTCTTTGTTCAATATTTATAGCACAACTCTTCCTTAATAGGCGATACCTCCTATCATTCTCTACTAACCTTTAGTTTGAATTCAAGTACTGCACTATATCCAGTTTTTTGACATGTAATATTGACTGTTCCACCAAGTTCCAGTGTCATTGTGCCATAAAGAATTCCTAAAGAAAAAACAATTTTGACAAAACGTTGAAGAAAGAGAGACAGCGGCTAATAACAAGCAGAGCTTTAAAATCGAATCTCCATATAGAAGCAACTAATAATTGAAGGGTATTCTGTTCTACACCCCAAAATCTACAATATACACATCAAGTTGGTTCTGTAGGATTTAAATAGATAACAGTTGATCCATATCTGCCAACTGACATTCTCACTAAAATATATTAGTAATCCCCAAATCAACATCTACAGTACTTGTGCAGTCATTTGTGGATATGCACAGAGCAGCGAAAAATTTGAGTTGCCCAATGTGCACACTGACAGCTGAGGTCAAACAAAGTGACACTCTGCGTTTTGGTTTCATCTCTCATGTGGCAAACAAGTCTTTTTTGCAGTATATTTACTGCCACATTTTTTGCATTTTTGTGCTTTTTGTTGGTGATTTTACTATTTAAAATGGCCCCCAAAGGTAGTGCTGAAGTGCCCAAGCACAGAAGGCTGTGATGTACCTTGCAGAGAAAATATGTGTGTGAAAGCTTGATTAAGGTATGAATTATAGTGCTGTTGGCTGTTAGTTAAATGTTAATGAATCAACACTATATAGTAAACAAGGTGTCTTTAAACAGAAATAAGGTTATGTATTGGTTGGTTGATGAAAATGTGACCAGAGGCTCGCAGGAACCTGAGCTCGTATTTTCCCCTGGGAGCAAGGGTTCAGTATGCCTTAATTCAGTGTTTGTGGTGACCTTATAGAACATAAGTACTGCAAACAAGAATCAACTGTACAAGTAAGACAGACAAACTTTAAAAATCCCCCAAAATAGTTTCTGTGGCTAAACAGTTGGGGAAATTCTGAGTTTAAGAAAGTTAAACAGGCTGTGCGTGTGTGTATCTGTTCTTGGACTAAACTGTTGAGGTAGCCTTAATATGCAAATACAGAATGTTAATTTCCAAGAGGGGAACACTATGCAATGTGTCTCATACTTATTTGGCTATGAAACTGTTATTTTGTAAAACAATTTGTGAGGCTAGTGGTTTGGGGAACACATCTTAGAAAATACACAAGGGTAGAAAATAACCATTGTTTTCTATGCTCATGCTTTTCTGCACAATAAAAACATTGCTACAAAAGAATTTTCCTGTTGCTCCTTGGGTATGGATGGCACTGAGTATCTACATGAAATATCATTTTATTTATTCCAAATGATACAAAATTTAAAACATATTTCTTATCAATTCAATTAATAATTTCAGATATTTCACTTCATGCCTATTTTATGAACCATACAGGAACCTCTGAGAATTATCTAGCCTGAGGCCACAAGTTGGCCACTCCTGTACTTAGTACTAGGCAGATTCATGGTACAGTGGATAGGAGTCAACAAGCTTAGAGTTTAGTCTCAGCATTCTTACTAAAACTAGTTGGTTTGGCCTTGGATAAAATTCTTAACCCTTCCAGTTTTCTCATCTGTGAAATGAGGCCATATGAAATGATTTCAATGTTTTCATGAATCAGTTCCTAAAATAGAGGATAATCACCCAAAAAATTATATTTAAGAAACGAGTTGGAAGGGAGGGTAATAATGACCAAGCTGAGTGTTTAAGCTGATGCTTTCTAGCACAGGATTGCAGACTGCAGAGATCTTGACTGTCGCATCCTAGCTAAGCTCAGGCAAATTAACCTCTTTGTGCCTCATTTCCCTCATCCATGAAACAGTGATAACATTAACTCCTCTACAGGGCTGCTGGAGTGACTAGATCAGTTTACAAACATAAAGGGCACAGAACAGCTGGGAGCCTGGCCCGTCAAAAATTATAGTTATTGTTTAATATCTTTATCTGTATCCTAAATAATGAGAAAAAGTATTAATACATTAATTTTTAAAAATTGCCAAATGAGGATTGAAAATTTTTTAAAGGACTCAGTACAATGAAAAGCAGTAAATTAAAAGTTAAAAAAGGAATAGTGGTGTAGAAAATGAAAATCACTTTTATAAATTCTGAAATAAGGGCAGTTTCATCAAATTTTAAAACCTGCACATAAGGCAAATGAAATTCTATTATTATAAATCAGCCTCTTCCAACTAGAGTGTGTCATAAAAAGCCCACTGTGGGTGAATTAATTCACTACAGAAATATTCAGCAGATGACAGCAATATCTTGAGCATCTGTAAACCAAAGACACTTTCAAACAAAAGCTGACTCCACCAATCTCAAAACATAACAAACTACAGCCATATACATTTACTTAAAGAGAAGGTTTAAGGAATGTCTAAGTCAATTATGGAAAATATTTACCTTTACAATGAGCATATGGCATTGTCATTACATAATCTTCACCTCTATTCAAGAAAGTTAAACGTGCTTCTCCTTCTAATATTGCAGATAATGAGTTTCCTGAAATAAATATTGTTTATTAAATTTCGCAAAACTCAGTCAACCACTTCAAAACAAACAAAATATATTTAGGACACCAACCAGACATCTATAGTGGAATGTCTTAAAAATGTCTCAATCTTAATGTGCCAAACATACATTTATCTTATATCCAAAACATTATTTGATCCATATTCCCATTCTTACAAAATGAGTACTTTTAAAAGGTAGAGTAATGTGCTTGTTATATGTTATTTTATATGAGGCTCTTAAGAAAAATCTTTTTTCTCCCCCAAGTAATTTTATTGGGATTATAATGGTATATAACATTGCATAATTTCAGGTGTATATTATTGTTTATTTATCAATTCCTGAATACACTTCATCGTGCTCACCCCCAGTAGTCTAATTTTTATCCATCACCATACATATGTGCTCCTTTGTCCCTTTCACCCACCTCCCAACCCCCTTCCCCTCTGGTAACCATTAATCTGTGCTCTTTATCCAAGAAAAGTCTTAACCATGTAGAACACAATAAAATACTGACTCTTTCACTATATAGATTAATTTTTCCACTTTTTTAATAAAACCATTATGTTTTTATCTGTAAGTCACACTAGCCAGCCCTGGTGGTCTAGTACTTAAGATTTGGTGCTTTCACCACTGAGGCCTAGCTGCCTGTTGCTGTGATGCTGAAAGCTATGCCACCAGTATTTGACACACCAGCAGGGTCATCCATGGCGGACAGGTTTCAGTAGAGCTTCCAGACTAAAACAGACCAGGAGGAAGGACCTGGCCACCCACTTCCAAAAAAATGGGCCATGAAAGCCCTATGAATAGCAGCAGAGCAGTATCTGATAGAGCAGAAGGTGAGACGAAGGTGCAGAGAGACCGGGCAGGGTTCTGCACTGCTGTGCACAGGGTGCCTACACATCGAATCAACTTGACAGTACTAACAATAACAAAGTCAAGTTTTAAGCTTTAAGTACTTATAATTGACATAATACTACTATAATTTAGAAAAATTAAAAATATGCATAACCCAGCAAAATGATAAAATTTCATGGTATTTTCTTCTAGCTTTTCTCCCAAATGTATTTTTCTTTGCCCTCACCAGTTTTATTGAAGTATAATTTACATACATGACCCATTTTAACTGTGCATTTTGATAGTCTTAGCAATTGTGTACAGTCATGTAACTACCACCACCACAATCAAGATACAGAACTTTCCATCACGCCAAGAAGTTCCCCCTGGCTCTTTGGCAGTCAATTGTTTCCTCCAGCTCCAGGAAACCACTGGTCTGGTTTCTATCACTGTAGTTTTACCAATTCTAAAATTTTTGTATATATGGCTTCACAGAATATGTAGTTTATTGTGTTTAACTTCTTTCATTTAGCAAAATGTTTTTTAGGTTTATCCACGTTGTTGTATCAACATTTCATGCCATTTTAACAATATTAAAAAATCTAATATATGAACATAGTGCATCTCTCCATGTACTTAAATCTTAATTTTCCTCAGCAATGTTTTGGAGTTTTTGGTGTACAGGTCTTAATTAATAAATAAATTTGGGGCCAGCGAGATGTGCAGCGGTTAAGTTTGCATGTTCTGCTTCGGTGGCCAGGGTTCGCTGGTTCACTGGGGCAGACATGGCACTGCTTGGGAAGCCGTGCTGTGGAAGGCATCCCACATATACAGTAGAGGAGGATGGGCACGGATGTTAGCTCAGGGCCAGTCTTCCTCAGCAAAAAGAAGAGGATTGGTGGCAGATGTTAGCTCAGGGCTAATCTTCCTCAAACAAACAAAAAAATTCATTAAATTTATGCCTAAGTATTTTATGTTTCAGATACTATTATAATTGGTGTTTTTAAAAACTTCATTCTGCAAGGGTTCACTTCTACTGCATAGAAATACAAAGGACTTTTGTGCTTTGACCTTGTATCCTGCAACCTTACTAACTTCACGTATTCTAGTAGTTTTGGTCAATTTTTTTGCATATTCTTGAGGATTTTCTATACAGATCAGGTACGTATATGGTTTAACTTCTTCCTTTCTAACCTGCATGCTTTTTTCTTTAATTTGCCTGCTGCATTAGCTAGGACCTCTAATAACATTTTGTTCAGAAGTTGTGAGAATGAACATTCTTGCCTTGTTTCTGATCTTAAGTAAAAATTATTGAATTTTCACCTTAAGAGTATGAAGTTGGCTGTATATTTTCCATACATAACTTTAATCTAGTCCTAGTCTGTTGAGAGCTTTTATCGTGAGTAGGTGTTGAATTTTGTGAAATGTCTTTTTTGCATCTATTAAAATGACACAGTTTCTTCTACTAACATGAATTACATTGGTTGGTTTTCAGATCATATACCAACCTTGTAGTCTTGAGATAAACCCCACTTGATCATGATATATATCCTTTTTATATATCCTCATATGTGTGTATTACCATTTATATATACTGATTTGCTAATAATTTAAGGATTTTTGCACGTATATTCGTGATAAAGAGTGCTCTGTAGTTTTCGTGTAATGTTGATTTTGGGATTAGGGTAATGCTGGCCTCACAAAATGACTTGAGAAGTGTTTCCTCCTCTTCTATTTTCTGTAAGAAGTTGTATAGAATTGGTATTTCTTCCTTAAATATTTAGAAGAACTCAAGACATCTGGGCCTGGAGCATATCTTTGAAGAAAGATTTTAAATTAGTAATTCAATTTCCTTCACTGATTTAAGGCTATTAAAATTTCTTGTTGCTTCTTGGGTCAGTTTTGGTAATTTGTGTTTTTCAAGGTATTTGCCTATTTCATCTAAGCTATCAAACTTATTGGCGTAAAATTGTCTATAAAATTTCTTCATCATCCTTTTAGTGTCTGTAGGATCAGCAATGATTCCACTCATTTATTCCTAATTTGTATTCCTTTTTCTTGATCAGTCTAAACTCTGGGATTCCCTGCTTTTCTGTATTGACTGTCTACTTTCTATACTATCTGCTCTTCAATATTTCCTTTCTTTTATTTACTTTGAATTTAATTAGCTTTTTTTATAATAGGGTAAAAAGGTGGATCACTGATTTGGATCTCTCTCCTTTTATAAAGTTACAAATTTCTCTCTAAGCACCATTTTGCTGCATCCCACAAATTTTGATATGTTGTATTTTCATTACTATTTAGTTCAAAATATTTTCTAATGTCTCCTTTGGCTCATTAACTATTTAGTAGTGAGTTGTTTAATTTCCAAATATTTGGAGTTTCCTTTGATATCTTATTCTTTTTTTCTAGTTCTATTTCATTGAGGTTGCAGAACTCATGATTTTAGTCTTTCGAAATTTATGGAGAGTTGTTTAATGGTCAAACATATGGTCTATACTAGTGAAAAACACCATATATGTACTTGAAAATAATGTGTATTTTGTAATTGCTGACTGTGATGTTTTAGAAATGTCAATTAGGGTAAGGTGGTAGATATGTTCTTCAGGTCTTATATATCTTTGCTTATATTTCACCTAGTTGTCTTATTATTTGCTGAGGAGTGTTAATATCTACAACTATGATTTTCGAACTGTCTATATCTTCCTCATTAATTCTATTTTGCTTCATGTATTTTCAAGTTCTGTGATTAGGCATATAGACATTTATGATTATTATGCTTGTCTAACGTACTAAACTTTTTACCATTATGAAACGCTTCTCTTTTTTTGTGTTAACCCATTGTAACTTAAAATTTACTCTATTAATATAGACAATCATACTTGAACTTAATCTTTGCATAGTTTAGCTTTTAACATTTTCCATCTATTTACTGTCAAACTATTTGTGTCTTTAAATTTAAAGTGTGTTAGCCCTTGCTGTTTTATTAAATCTGACAATCTCTGTCTCTAAATTAGATTATTTTGGCTATTAACATGGATGTAATCATAATGAGTGAGTTTTCGTCTGCCGTTTTACTATGTATTTTCTATTTGTTCTGAGTTTTGTTCCTTGATCAAGCTTTCCTGCTACTTTTTAAAATAATCTGAATTTTCTCTTTCAGAATTTCAATATTTTTATTGGCTTTTTACCTGTACTTCTTGGCATTATTTGATGTGTGCACACAATGTGCACATGTGTGGCACAAGTGCTCTAAGGTAGGGTTTCTCGACAGCAGCTTTCCTGACATCTTGGGCTAGACAATTCTTTGTTGTAGTGGGCTCTCCTAAGCATTGTAGGATCTTTAGCAGCCTCACTGGCCTCTACCTACCAAATACACCAACTGTGAAAACCAAAATGTCTTCGAACATTGTCAAAGTCTCCTGGGAGGCAAAACTGCCCCTAAGTTGAGGACCACTGCTTTAGGGATCACAAACAGTTATCTTTAAAATTCCACAGTCCACTTACAGTTAAATTATTCCACTTGTATAAAATGTAGAAACTTTGTAACTTGTAGGTCCATTCTCCTCTAAGCCTTTATGCTGTAGTTATATATGCTATATCTGTATATGTTATAAAACTCACAAGACAATGTTGAAATTTTTGTTTTGAACAGAAATATGTATTGTAAACAAACTGAGAGGAAAAAACAAGAAAAAAATGTCCTTGTATTTACCAGATATTTACCATTTCTGATAATCTGTCCATTTTAAGGATCTGAGTTTCTATCTGGTCCCCTTTATCTTTGGCCTAAAGAACTTTATCTAGCTTTCCTTGTAGTATGAGTCTTCTGGCAACAAATTCTTTTAGTTTTATTTTATCTGATAATGTCTACAGTCTTGAAGAATATTTTCACTGGATATAGAATTCTGGGTTGACAGCTATTTTCTTTCAACACTGCAGAGATGTTCTACTTTCTTGAGTTCTTCATAGATTCTAATAAGAAGTGGGTCATTGCAGAATCATTGTTTCCCCAAATGTATTAGATTGCTTTCTCTTAAGTTTTCAAGATTTCCCTTTGATGTTTGGCTTTCAATAGTTTGACTATGTTGTGTCATAGCTTAGCATCTTAATGTTTATGCTGCTTGGTGTGTTCTTTGGGCATCTTGAATATATAATATAATACCTTTCATTAAATTTGGAGAACTTTTAGCCATCACTTTTTAAACTCACTTTTTTCCTGTTTCATTTTCTCTCTCTTTCTGGGACTCCAATAACCCATGTATTAGAACATGTGATATAAGAGATCTGAGGCTCTATTCATTTTTAAAAATAATTTTTCTCTGTCCTTTCCACATTGGATAATTTCTATTGATCTATTTACAAGGTCACTTACGCTGTCATTCCATTCTGTTGTAAAGTTCATTTCATGAATTTTTAATTTCAAATATTGAATTTTTCAGTTCTAGAATTTTTATTTGATTTTTAAAATATATTTCTACTTTTCCTGCTAAGCTGTCCTATTTCATTTCATTCACTGTGACCATATTTTCTTCTATTTACTAAAGGGTACTTATAGCCACTTTAAAATCCTTGTGTGCTACTTCCAACACTATATCTTGGGGTTGGTCTTAGTTGATTTTCTTTTCCTTTGAGAATATGGTCTATTTTCCTGGGTCTTTAAAGTTAGGTAATTTTGGATTTTATCCTAGACATTATAAATGTCAAGTTGTGGAGACTCTGTATTCTATTATTTTTCTCCACTGAGAATTGTTCCTTTGTTTTAGCAGGCAATTATTTGGTTGGACTTGAATTACAAACTTTGTTTTTGGGTGGCAGTTCTGTTCTGGATTTAGCCAGAGAAGCGGATAGAGAGAATTTGAGACCCCCCTTTCTGGCTCTTTTCCTTTTGAGATCCCCGCTGTCTGTCCAGTGGCCATGCTTTCTCTTAATTTAGCATCTGGTTCCCCAGGCCAGAAAGACTGCAATGTTTCCACCAGTGCACCTGCTAACTGCACCTGACCTGAGGCTTAAAGCCCTGAAAACAGGGATTTATTCTTTTTCATTCCTGTTCTACGAGTGTGGACTTCCCGCAGAATTCGCCCGCAACTGCTCTCTCTTCAGTGTCTTCAGGAAGCTGTTTTTTGTATTACGGCCAGATGCCTAGAGGAGAAGGATTGGTCTAGGAGGACCTTATTCAATCATTATTATCCACATACATTCTTAATTCAGTGAAACTGCAGATTGTTTGTATCCAACTTTTTACGTGTATTAGTACATCATAAAATCATTTCTCTTGTGTTATATAGTATTCATAACCATAATGGATCTTAAAATAACTGAATTTTCCCTTATTTTAAAGGAAATGCTTGCTCGTCATGGAAAAGTTGAAAAACCCAAAACAATTACCCATAATTCCATCATCCAGGGTAATCATAAAATCTTAACATAATTCCTTGCATCTTTTTTCCCTATGCATGAATGTATGCATGTTTTAAAGCAGAGCTGAGGGGCCAGCCCTGTGGCCAAGTGGTTAAGTCTGCGTGCTCCACTTCGGCGGCCCAGGGTTTCACCCGTTTGCATCCTGGGCACAGACATGGCACTGCTCATCAGGCCATGCTGAGGCGGTGTCCCATACGCCACAACTAGAAGGACCTACAACTAAAAATATGCAACTGTGTACTGGGGGGATTTGGGAAGCAAAAGCAGACATAAAAAAAAAGAAGACTGGCAACAGTTGTTAGCTCAGCTGCCAATCTTAAAAAAAAAAAAGCAGAGTTGACTCAGTGCATATATTATTTATACTCCACCTTCCACTTAACAGTATATCATAAGCCATTTCAAATTTTAGTGTACATTAGAATTTCCTCAGGAGACTTTAAAAATGTATTCTTGAGCCCGGCAATTTTGATTTAGTAAGTCAAGACTGGAGTTCAGGATGCCAAAATTTTAACTAATACTAGAAGTGATACTGAAATTAGTAGTTCATGAATACCACCTGAAAAACACAAACAGTTCTCCCAAATGATGATAAATTATTCAACCCAACTTAGCCAGAGTGGCTAAGTACCTACATTTTATCTGCTCTACAGAATACTAGAAGCCATTTAAAAATAAGTGGTTCTTAGGGCATATAACAGTGGTACAAGAAAAGATGGATCAATAGATCAGAAAAGACAGCCCTTGAAATAGAAAATAACACCATTAAAACCCATGATAAATAAATCAGGTATTGGGAAAATTAATGGGCTTTCGGGAAAAGAAAGTTGTGATCTTGCTTCACTCTACCCATACTATATACACAGAAATAAATCCCAAGCAAGTTAAAGAGCAATGGAAGCATAAAAGTATGAGAACATGTAAGTGAATTATTGTGTAAGCTGAAGTGAGGTTTTCTAACACGACATCAAAAGCAAAAACCATCAAAGGAAAAATTGATATTTAACTACATTAAAATGTCAAGAAAGAGAGACTACTTGTTAAGAAGAATATACCCTGCCCAGATGTCTTTAAATTTAGCTTAATTTAGACTCAAGAAAATGAACTAATTCCTAGAACAATGTAAACTATCAAAACTCACCCAACAAGAAGTTTCTTTTGAGCAAGTCAGTAATCAAAGAAGAAATGAGGAAGTAATCAAAAAAGTGCCCCTACGAAGCCTGAATTTCATAAATTCTTTGAAATTATAAAGGAACAGATAGCTCTGATATACACAAACTATACTACAACATAGAACAAAGAAGGCCAGCTGCTGAAGTAATCCCAGGAAGTGAGCTATGCACCAGGCACGCAACAAAGACGCCGAGAAGGGTAGAGCATGCACTCATAAAAGGCATTCGCACTGGCCAGACCAGGGGCAGGGAGGGATTGAAGGTGCCGTGGGGAGGGATGACAAATATACGTAACCTTCAGAAGACAACATTCATGCTCTGAAAGAAGTAAGACATAAAACTAGGCAAGAAACCAGAACCCAAATCCAAACAAAAACATCAAGGGAAATAAAAGACATCTTAAAGAAAAATAAAGGCATACACCATGCTCCTGGGTCAAAAACTATTGTTATATTTCCCTGTCACAGACTTATCTGTCGTTCTCCACCCTCTCAGGAAAGTAGACCTTGGGTTTCTCTTGATGTATTTTATTTTTCCTATCTTACCATAATTTTTTCTCTCTCAGGTTTAAAATTCTTCAGTTGAAAGTTAATTCATTGATTTTTCTCCATATACAAGTTCATTAAAAAAAAACAAAAGCACTTAACGTTATATATTTTCTACTGGTGTATAGTTTTGGGCTATGATTTGTTTGAATTGTTGCAGTTTTGAGATTAAGGTTTCCTACTGTAACTTTATTTCTCTATTTTCCCTTGCATTTATAACAGTTTTTATTAGTATGTTATTTGGTCTGAGGTTAAGGATCATTACTGACTGACCCTGGACCAAGTATTCTAACTGTACTTGGAATCTCTCTCTAGTCAAAGACTAAATAGAAAGATCAATCCCTCAGGTACCTTGAAGTGCTTAAAAAACCTTAGTAGAGCTAAAGGCAAAATAAATGCATCTAGCCACAGTGGGCAATCATTACTCTGTCTTTTGATATGTAGTGTTTGTGATGAATTTACATGTATGTAATATTTACGTAAAATTATATACATACTTACATAAAATTATATACATATAAATACTTAGATAAAATGAGTCATATCTCTATTTGTGAATGGGCAAAGAAAAACACTGTTAAAGAAAGGCCATTAATCAAATAAAGATGATACTTAAAATGACATAGGAATTTCTTGCTGAAAACAGCCCAAGACGTTGTCTATATAAAAGCTCACCAGAAAATACTACCTTTCGGAAAGGTGCAGACTGAGACAAGGGGAAACTCACCATAGAACTTGGACTTAGCCAGGATACTACCACTAAGGCAGAAGCCATCCTTTCGGTTACTTACATAGAAGGCAGATATTGGTGGATGATGGGACACCTGTTGAACACAGAAAAACCATAAAATAGAATAACATAAGCATATTATTATGCTATTATCAAAAGTTTGTCTTAACAGTATATTCTAATAATGAATAAGAAGAAACGTTTGGTAAGTAGTAAAATTAAATACTGATGACTATAGAAACCACCCTCCTGGTGTTACAACCAGTAGGTGGGCTCCTCTTACACTGTACCAAAGTTAGTTTATGTGGAAGTGATAGTGTGTCACTTCTGAAATTAGGTTATAAGGCAGCATCCATCTTGGTGTCTCTCTCTCTCAGAACCTCAGCTCTGAAAAGCCAGCTTCCATGTTGTGAACAACCCTATAGAGAGGACCATGTGGTGAGGAACTAAGTCTTCTTGTCAAAAGCCAGGTGATGAGCTTGGAAGTGGAGCCTCCCAGCCCAGGTGAGCCTTCAGAGGACTAGAGAGCTAGCGACATCTTGACTGCAACCTCTTGATAGACCCTGAGCCAGAACCACCCAGTTAAGAGCTCCCAGATCCCTGACCTTCACTGTCGGAGACGATACATGGGCATTGTTTTAAGCCATTAAGTTTTGGCAGTAATTTGTTATACAGCAATGGATAACTAATACAGTGGCTATCTTCATACAGATTACTGAACAGGCTGTAGGAAACTAACAAAAGCTTTGACAAACAGGTTAACAATCTAGTATTTTCAATATATATACACATCTTATGTTTTCTGAAAAATGAGACAAAGCTAAAATCAATTAAACTCTTCTCAAGCTTCTCAATTTAGTAATGAATTACAATGAACTAAAATGCAAGACGGTATTATCATTAATTTTTTAAGAATTAATATAGATGAGTGGTTTCAATCTGAAATTGAATCTCTAGGGAAGAAGAAGGTTTTTCAAATAACACATTGTCTCCTCATCCTCCTTACACTCTAAGTGAGAACTATTAAATTAAGGAATCATTGGTAGTGAGAGAGAATGTCATATTCCTCAGGTTCCTTAGGACTGCCGTTAAGACTGAGAATCATGAATATAGATGCATATGATTAAATTATGAAAGAATAAAACTCAGAAATATTGTCTGATTGCCTACTATGTGTACAACAAAAGGAGAGGCATTATGGGGAGGGTATACCTTCAAGGAGCTAACGATTCAATTAGGGAAATAAATATTCTGTAAAAAGTTATACAATACAAGTGTTAAAGTAACATCATAACGGATAATCACAAAAAATAGCACAGAAGATTGAGACGGGAGAAATCACCAGGAGTTGCAGTCATCTGGATCATGAAAGATGAGTGGGTCAGAGTCTATTTAGATAAAAAATAGCTGGGCAGAAATACTGGGGTTGGAGAACTGAATTTAAAAATAATGAGGCAAAAGAAGGGCAATGTCAGGTTACCTAATGGTGAACGCACAGGCCTGACTACTGTAGAGGGCTCAGAGAAGCATGTAACTTGACATAAATTTAGAAAGATACGGAGGACCTTGAATTCCAGACAAATGGGTGTAAATTTGATTTAGGAACTGGAGAACCACTCAAGAATTTTTGCCAAAAATACCCCCCAAATGGGACAGAAGCAGAAAAAAATACTGATTTATTTTTGGTCCTACGGTTCCATGACTGTAACAGTAATACTTATGAGTATGGTATTTATTAGTATTCAGTACTAAAGGTGAAATGTTTACCAAATGTTCACTATTAAAAAGGTTAATCAACAGTGAGTTTACTGAGTTAATATTTTCTATAAAAATAACCCAATAACTTCCAAAGTGGTCTTGTTTCTGTAACATGCATTTCTAATACCTGTTCAGCAATATAAAAAGTTTTGCTGTTTGTTCTGGGATGAATCCACAAACAACGGAAAGTCTCACCAAGTATAGGATTATAAGGTTTCTTCAGTCCCTAGTAAAAAACATACAAGTTTCAAATTACAAATACATAAGATTCAAAATAGTTTAAACCAGTCAAGATGGGTTTAACTAACTGTATCATCTGGGAGCTATCCTTATAAAATTTCACAGTAGTGAGTGATAGGAAATAAAGGTAAATAACTTAAACCATAATACAGATCTAAACGACCAGGTATTTTGCAATTCTGCTAACTCAAAGAGGCCCTGTAATGCAATCCTTAATAAATAATCTAAAGATAACATGAAAAATAAAGAACTCATATAAGGCTAAAGAAAGTAAAACATAAATATTACCTTTGGCTTTTTATAGAATCCTGACAAATACCATTTCACAACTTTCTTCAAACGGAAATAAGGATTTTCCTCGAGAGCAGCCCTAAAAAACAAAATGGTATACATGAAAATTTTACAGAATATATCACAAATTCTCCCTCATATTTATCAAGTCAACAACTGAGTATTATATAGAATTGGAAAGCATAATTCATATTTAAAATAGATGGCAAAAACAACCACGTAAATCACTTTGTAAGAATCATTTTTCATAATCTGGTGACTTTTCTCCCAATTATTCTTATTCTTTGACAAATGACCCAGGTCTTTGCTCAAGTAGTTTTGAAACTCTCCAAACCAAGGCTTCTCTCCTGGGGTTCTGCAGAACCACTTATGTTGCTGGGGGTTCTGTGAGAAACTGTGACTGATAAAAGTAAACACAGATTTTGAGATTCAAGCACTGCGTGATGCCTAGCATTCGCAATGATGGGCAGTGGCCAAGCAGCTTCATTAACAATTTCATTGGAAGCCTTCAGTCCCGTATGTCAGGGAAGGACCATGCTCACTGGATTTAGTCTACTCTCAGTTGTTGATGTCAATTAGAGGAGATCAACAATAACTGGTGAGCGCTGTAGTACACGAGGGAGGACAATATGCTGGTACTAGCCTTGCCCATGCAAAGGGCCTCCCTAAGTATAGGATCGTATGACTTTTTAGTCCCTAGTACAAAATAGAAGTTTCAAATCACAAATACAGAAGATTTAAAATAATTTAAACCAATCAGAAAGGTTTTAACCAGGGTTTAGCCTTCGACCTCCCCTATGTGCTCCCAATTGATTATCCATAGTGAACAAACTCTATCAATATAAAGATAATCAAAGAATGATTTTAATTTTAATGAAGAAATTTTTAAAAGCCATGACTCACATGCCCCCTTGCCCCTCTGCTGCTGCTATAAACATTGCAAAACATTGACTGTGTATGTCAGAAGTGAATTCTACTGAGACGTTTTCATATATACATATTCTCCAAGAATTGTTATACATATATAAAACAACTTAACCATTTATTACTCCCCAGAGCATGTCTGAAGGGCCAGTGTGGTGTCTGTTGAAGATGAAATGTCAGAGGGAAGAGGCCAGGCCTAGGCTTACTGACAACTGTGCCAAGTGGAAAAGTTGTATTTTCAAGAGTAACAACTCTGATTGCTCTCTTCCTATCTTACAGTGGAGCTTAAATTCTCTTACTATGCAATTTTGTTTAAAATTACATACATATAGAATACAGAGTTCAAAACTCAAAGCAATACAAAGAAGTAGACATGTCTTGCTATCGCCCCATCTCTCCATACTCTTCCTACTTACCTCCTATAGGCAACTTTTTTTTTTTTTTAAAGATTTTATTTTTTCCTTTTTCTCCCCAAAGCCCCCCGGTACATAGTTGTGTATTCTTCGTTGTGGGTTCTTCTAGTTGTGGCATGTGGGACGCTGCCTCAGCGTGGTCTGACGAGCAGTGCCATGTCCGCGCCCAGGATTCGAACCAATGAAACACTGGGCCGCCTGCAGCGGAGCGCGCGAACTTAACCACTCGGCCATGGGGCCAGCCTCTATAGGCAACTTTTTTTTTAAGCTTTTTTTTTTATATAAACACTTTTCTTTAAGCATAAAGAAGCAAATATGAATAGGTACCTTTTTCTTATAGAAAAAAAAAGGTAGCAAACTACATTCTTCTGTACCTTGCTTTTTTCGCACACTCAAATAATCCTGAAGATCCCTCCAAATCAGTTTATAGAGTTCTTCCTATGTGTGCATGTATCACACATTATTTAACCAGTCAGCTGTGGCTGGACACCTGAGTTAGCTAATCTTTTTCTATTCCCCACCTGGCTGCAACAATCTTGCATATATATGTCATTCTGTAAATGTGTAGTTACACCTGTACGAGTTATTCCCAGAAGCAGGATTACTGGGTCAAAGGGCTGAACGCCTCTATCATTTTGGTAAACACTGCCAGCTTCCCTTCAAAGGCACTGTGCTAGTCCGGATCACCCAGCAGCACTGTACGAGTGCCTGCTGCCCCACACTGCCTTGGCAACAGTCTGTGGCCAGAAAAGTGCAATCTTTCAATTCGGGAAAATGAGCAGCTCTCAGGAAGATCTTACTGTCATTCACAGGAACACGCCTCATATTCTGAAAGAAATGAATTTCTAGACCTATAAAAGAAAGAACTATAATAAATTATAAAGGAGAACTGGGGTATAAAAGCTTTTGGATTTTTGGTCAACGTGATGGATGAAAAATATACCTTATTATAGTTTGAATCTGCAATTTCCTTATTTTGAGTGAGGCTTACATGTTTAAGGACTGTTTCTATTTCTCCATTTTTGAATTGCCTGGTCATTTCCTCCACTCCTTTTCTATTAGGTTTTGAGCATTTTCATTCAATTTCTAAGGGCCCTTTTTATTCTAGGGAGATTAACACTTTGTTTATGACTTAATTTGCAAAATCGCCCAGTCTATCAATTATCCTTTTATTCAGCTTATGATGTTTTTTTGCAATGTTCATTAATGCAACTAATAGGCTAATGATGCAACTAATAAACTGAATACAGATATTGATGCAGAATCTAAAAATCAGGTCACAGGGCCAGAACTTAGTATCTTAGGAAACACTGTGCCTTGAAACTGCTGCTGGAATGGGGTGGGTAACAGATGAAACTTGGAAAGGCATGCACAAAGTTGCCGGTTTTTACTGGTTCTCTAAGGAACTATTGGGAAAAAGGTGGACAGCTCCTCCTCATCTCCTTTATGCCTGCCTCCTGCAGAATTACACTCAGGATCAGCTGGCAGAAAGAAAAGCAAAGAGGAGAGTGGGGAATTTATGCCATGAGCCAGAAACTGGCAGGGCGTTCCAGTCGTGGTAAGCTGCACATGCGTCACAAGCATGCAGAGAAGATAAGCATAAACAAAAGCACGAGCCCCAGGATGGGACCCAAATGAGGACAAAGGTGAAGGAGAATGAAGAATGCCAACCCCTCTCCCTGGGGTAGGTCAGGGAACAGGTCAGGGAGCCACGACAGCAGCACTAGCTGGTGAGGAACAGAGCTCCTGTCCCCCTGGCAAGCTTGTGATCTCTCAATTCAACTTCACGAATGGAAACATCAGAGCAACTTGTTAAACGTGCTCCTTATTAAGGTCAACTACAGAAGTGGCAGAGGAGAGAGTGCCAGCTCATTAGGGCCTGATTTGGTAAGGCACAACCTCTGAAGTTAGCACTCTGAAAACCTCTAAAATCATCAAGTGTGTTTTATTTTAAGAAATGAGAATCCACTTAATCCACTTACTCAGATAGGAAATCTGCATGATAGTAGTAATCTGAAAGTTTATCCAAGAAAGAACGAGGCTCCAAAATAAATGTAGGCAGAACCACCCTGGAGAGGTCCATGCCAGGACGAACTTGTTTCAGCAGAGTCCAGATAAGGCTTTTGTTTTCTTCAGACACAGTTTCTGTTTGAGAAGCTTCACCTGCCTTTAGTAATTAACAAAAAATACTGAAACAGTATATTTATTTTAGACACATAGATATGTAGACAAGACAGCTAATGTTGAAAATATGAATTATCTATAGGAGTATTCTAAGTATTAAAATACATTAGGCAATAAATAAAGTCTATAGCTGTGAAATTTAGGTAAAAAGAGTAGTTGCAAGAAACATCAAAGTGAATGCTATATACAAAGAATTCATTATAAAAAACATTATCCTCTCTTATTTTATACCATATTTACTTCTATGCACTAGCAGTAACAAGAAAGTTATAAACTCATGTTTCCTTGTATTTACTTTGTACCTGGCAATGACATCAAGTAGTATCCTATTTCAAAGGCAAACCTGAGGAAAACGTAAACTTTAAATTTAATAGAATATATTGGTATTTGTGTGAGTATATGTGTTTAGTTGTTTATAAATCCTGATATATTCCATAGGTATGCAACTTTTAAAACAAAATAGGCATCATATAAATATTCTCTTTCATGAAAATGAGCAATAGGTCAAACAAGTATCTTCAATTTCATTTGAAAAGTCCCAAGAATTAGAAAACCAAAATCTCTGAAGATCACAAACTTTCACCTCTCCGAGTTCTTCATGGCTCTGTTCGGTGTAGGTGGTCTCCTTCAAAGGCTCCACAGGCTCAGGTTCGATATATGAGTCATCTTGCCTTTCTGATGTATCTGTGTCACTTTCTTCACTCTTCCCCATCACCTCATTGTCAGACTCATCATGCTCTTGATCATTTTCTTTATCGGATTTATCAGAATACATATCCTGGTCCTTAAAATGCTGTCGTTCAATTTCACTATCATTTAACCTTAAAGAAAAGAATTATTATGAGGAAGAATAAAGGAGGTTAAGAATATTTAATTTATAAATAAGAATGATGTGTAACATTTACTGAGAATTTACTACGAGCCAGGCACTGGCCTAAGTTTTTTCATCGTGTAACTCATTTAACCTGCAAAATAATCCTGAGATAAGTAATATTATTATTCTCACTTTCCAGGTTAGCAAATGGAGGCACTGAGAAATTAAATTAAAACCTTGGAAGTACTAAAAGATGGCACTCAGCTCTTTGCCTTTCTACCACTTGAGGCAAAACTCCAAAAGCAAAATTTTAGACCACCTCTTGTTGATTTTAAAGTTTTGCAAACATCATCACTTGAATTCCACTCCCTGTCCCTTACATCCAAACAGACTCTAAGTCTCAAAAGGAAGCTCCCATTCCCTCACCTCTGCAGCATCAACTCATAGCCCGTCTTCTGTCACACAGCCAAATGAACAGGTTGACATGTTGATTCCACTTTTGTAAAGTCTGTTATACTGATCCTTTCCCTGACTCCCCAGCTGGATGTCATGTTCTCACCCTCTAAATTCTCCTGATCCCATATTACCCTCGGTCGCCCCTGGTTGTTTAGGTCATTATTATCTTCCCACTACTTATAGCTGCCTGGCATTTCATAGGTTTCAAACAAAACAAAACATCTCTCCAGGATCACATAGCTAATATAAACTGTTGTACTGGATTCAAAATTAGGATTATATCTGATTCACCTCCCTATAGACAATTTGGTGAATCATACAGAAAACACCTATGGTTCTAATACAGAAAAGAGGCTCAAAAATTTTAATGAATAAATATGTGAAACAGATAAATTTTTAAGATCCCCAAGTAAGAGCATTTAAAGATTGCCTGGTAGTCAGTAAAAATAATGGACTGTTTATAGCTGAGGAGCTTCGAGGAAAACATCTTGGGAAGAGGCCCTGACAAAAACCCCATCCCTATATCAGTTGCACCCCCCAATGCTATCCCATTCAGGTTCCCCTACTGGGAATTAAGATAAAGCTCCAGACTATAGATCTGCAAAGAAGGATGTAAAAGGTCAGGTAACGGAGGTTTTTAAAGAGGGCAAAGAAAAAAGAGTCAAGCCAAATGACAGGAAAAAATGTTCAGCTCAGGTTACATGGAGGAGAGGAGAGGAGCAGCCTAACTCTGAGGAGAGGAACCTCAACACTGATGGGAAGAGGCTGCAGAGCAGAAGCTGAGGGTTGGGGCAAGACAGGAAAAGGGGAAGTCTATTTTTCCTGCAAAGCAACAGAAGAGATCTTAACCTCAACAAACCTCTGAGTCTCCAACAGTGCTTCTGAGTTTCACTGGAGAAAAGTATTAACTACAATGACTACTTCAGGGAATAAAACCACAAACAGGATACACTTTCAACTCAAAACACTTACAATGTAACAGGAGAATCCCACAAATACCAGGTAGACCAAATCAAGTGCCAAAAAAAAAAGTACTATAGAACAACAATAGAAGGACAGGTTACATCTCATTTTTATGAAGCAGGAAAGGTGAAATCGGTCTTGAAGGAAACATGGGTTTATGACAGGAAAAAAGAGCAAGGAGGACTAGAAATCATTCTTGATGGAGGGAACACCACGCACAAAGACAAGGTAGATGGTTAGCATGGTTGTATTTGGGAAAGAACAAGTAATTTACATTAGCTGGAATCAAGGAAGTAACTTTCTACACCTTATCACAACAACTAAACAAATCTTAAACCAGGCCTTCGGCTATATAATGGGAAGAAGACAGCCAAGTTTCAATGCTAGATACACCAGAAAAATTCCAGGCCGGCCTACTAACCTAGTGAACAACACAGCCTCAAAATAATCACCAAATTAGTGGCACTATCTACTTACTGGAAGTTGTCACCACTGTGGAGATTGTTAGCACGTAACAAGCCATACAAAGTCACGTGTGTGCTCTCTGATGAAATGCTCAGGTCATGTTCCTTTCCTTCTCTGATCATTGTACGTTTAAGAAGGCTAGAACACTTCAAAGCCAACTCCAAAGCGTCCATCCAGCACCTTCCTAGAAGAACACAGATTTATAAGCAGTATAACTCAAGAAACGATCCACACTAGCATTCATTTTAACTTAACACTGCTAAGCTTTAAACGTATTATGATGTTTTTGAGAAACATGCACTGGAAAAGTTAATTTGAACATAAAATCTTACCAGGATTTCTCAATGCAATTTTTCAGTATAATAAGTGCTTTTTACATACTAAGCATCTAGAAACCACTGGCAAATGAACAGCACAGCAAGCACTAGAAACTACATCTAACTGAAAATAAATGTACCTTATTTTTAAAATCTTAGAACATTAACATGTCGTATAATTTGAAGGTACCAAAAAAGGTACATAAAATATACTGAAGGGGTTACGTTGCTACTATAAACAAACCATCTAAAATAATGTTTTGTTGTGGATAAAAGGTCTATCCTCAGGTTTAGCATCCATTCTACTTACATGTTTCAAAATTTTCAAGTCAGGAAAATGCTTATACAATACTGTCAGTAACTGCCATATTAATAGAAACAGTAATAACTTTATTTTTTAAATTAAAATTTAGAACAGTATTAGCAGGAAAAAATTGTTAGTTGCTCCTAAACTCATACATGTTTGTTTCAAGATCTGCTGGAGATACCAGCCCAGTAAAACACTTTCATGACAAAAGCACATGCCTATAATATTTTAATTTTAAAAATAATCATCTGGTAAAAGTAAACTTTGGAAGTTTACAAGATTCCCTAGGTTAAGCTAGCCTAAATTATAAGACATAAAAGTGAGAAAGAAATCCACTATGAACTCCTAAAGTTGTAAAGTTACCTTGCTTTCATGTAACTAAAGCTCCATATTTGCTAGAGGAGCTAAGTATTAAGTTATTAAGTAAAGAACAGAAGTTTGTACTTGAATGTCTTATGTAAAAAAACCTCAACCAGTGTACATGTGTCTTGTAAGGGTTAATATTTGGTGATAAAATACAAATAGTATTAAACATACCTCTACAATGATAAAACAATGAGTTACCACAGAGAACACTAACCAAGTCAAAAAGGTGTTCATGTGTCAACGGAGGATGACGAAGAAAACTCCAGAGTGCTAATTTACCATTCATGATACAATGCTTCCTTCCCATCAGATTTCACTGTTTGTTGACCAAGTTAATTATATTTAGTGTTCTAAGCAAGTTATGATTACAATACCTCTGCTGCAAATACCACACTAAAGACAGATGTTCCCAAAGGAAAATACACAGTGGTATATAAAATAAATCCTTAAAAATGAGGAGCAAAATGGGGCCGGCCCTGTGGTGTAGTGGTTAGGTTTGGCGCCCTCCACTTCGGTGGCCCAGGTTTGCAGGTTCCGATCCCAGGCGCAGACCTACTCCACTCATCAGCCGTGCTGTGGCAATGACCCACATACAAACAAGAGGAAGACTGGCATAGATGTTAGCTCAGGGCAAATCTTCCTCAACCAAAAAAACCAAGAAGATTGGCAACAGATGTTACCTCAGGGTGAAACTTCCTCAGCAAAAAAAAAAAAAGCTAAAAATTTTTCTTTAAAAAAAAAAGGAGCAAAAATCCAATCCATCAAAATCTGTATTTACCATCTGACTCTGAAGTAGCTCGGATGATCAAATAACTGCTGGGTAAGGGCTGGGTTATGGATCCAACTGCTTCACCCTTTGGACCCTTAAAGGCAAAATAAACAAGATAAATGATGTACAGTATTATGAAATCTCAACTTTATATTATCCATTATTATCTGTAAAATCTAAGTTAGGCATGGATTATAATTTAAAAGGAAACAAAGCTTTAATTTCATGCTTCATGAGAAAGCAAATGTTAAGTATTAAGGAAAGTTTTCCTCTTCCAACAAATATACCTCCTTACCAGAAAGTTGAACAACTTATGGTTATAAAATATTATTTCTGCATATTGTTCACATGTTGAAGAGAAACCTAAAATTTACCATACTAGACCAAATTTTAATTTAACAGAGAATTTCCATTCCTCAGATAAGAAATACTAAATTTCTAGAAGCCTAAAGAAGCAGCTGGAAATACAGTTACAATTTACAAGAAAAAGAAAAATGAATTTTGATTAGGTCTAGAGAAAAATAGCTCCATTTTATAACTGATAATCTTGTTTATAAATACCAACTATAAAAGCTAATTTCATTTTTCCAGAAACAAGAAACAAAGAGGAATTTTGTTGTTATTGGTTGTGGTTGTGGTTGTTTTAGAGTACACACCACCACGAACTCTACAGTAACCGGTATCAACCAAGGCTAATCTTAGGTGGACTCAGTTCTTATCTGGAAAGAAAACCTGAGGATTGAATTTATAGTATAATTTTGATAGAAAAAGCATAAATTTTTAAGTTGTCAGATCAAAGAATAAAACGATTTTAAAAAGCATAAACATTAGGAAGTAAAGATGCAGATTCAAAATCAAAAACACAGAAACAATACGATTTTAACAAGTCCCATCATATCCCTTGGGTATTTTCACATAGCTTTATAAGTTATGGGCCAGTTCCAAGAACCAGTATAGAGCAGGACCTTGAGTCAGGCTGCCTAAGTTCCAATCTTGGCTCCACGCTAGAAAAATTACTTAAGTAACCTCGTTAGGCCTCAACCTCTTTATCTGGGTAATGGGGGTAAACTGTATGCTCCTAATAGGTGTGAGAATTAAATAAAGATTACTCCATGTAAAAATGCTCAAAAGAGTCCCTTACACCAATTAAGAACTCATAAACATTACTATTTCCTAATTACAGACACTGACTTTGAAGCTAATTTAAACAATGTCCTAAGTGGGTTTTGCTTGTGGAGAATATTCTGATGTTCATATACTTGTACAAATTTCCCTTCCACCAATATTTGGAATTAAATAAATTTGACATTAAAAATGTTTAATGTTTAAAAATTCATTATAATTCTTACAATTCCTAAGAGTAGTAGTAAAGAATAAACACTGTACATAAAAATGTTTTGAAAGTAACTTTTTTTCACTTGAGAATCACATGATATATAAATATAAGAGGTTCTATGGGTTAAATTCCTTCCCCTGTGGGAAGTACCTAATCCTAGAATGGAACTAACCCTGTAATCCTAAATTTATTCCTGCTACGACTCCAGACTACGGAAATAAAGGTAAAAAGTCCACGTCTTTTCCTAGGCGTACGTATATTGCCTAAGTAAGCAATATTTAAAAAATCAAAAAGCTGAAGCTACTTTTAGTTAGCCCTAATCTCAATTAGGTTGTTTTCCTTAAATAAGTAGCTCCAAAACCTTTATTTGAGTGTAAGTGACCTTCTTAGAAACTAAAACAATGATCACTTTGTAAAAACTTAAACTCATTTATTGAGTTAGCATGTACTATACTGCATGTCTACTGTTTGTAGAATTCCTTGGTGATTAAACAAATAAGGTATTTCTATTTTCCTGATTAAGTTTATGCTTTTACAACACAGGAGTGACCACAGTAATGCTTTTAGTTATAAAAGCATTAGAGCTCCATCTTCAAAGACAGCTGCTGTCTTAAGAGTAAGTGGGACTGCTTCTGTTTATAGGTTTCTTACCATATACTTATATCACCGCAGGAAAGACCACAAAAACAAATGGTAGCTTCCATTCTAAGGGATCTTACAATTTTGATAGAGAGAAAAGCACTTACAGTAAACATGATGCAATATTACAAAGTGCAAATTAAAAAAGAAAACAGTACAAACTGAATCCCCGCAGACAAGAGATAAGAAGGTACAATGTAAATTTGAGAAACATTTTTGGAGAAATTTTTAAGTTAGATCTTAAAGGTAAACAATCCCTTCTGGTGTACATTTCATTGTGGGCAGACACAGACAGAGGAATGATGTGCTTGAAAATCGAAACAAACTTATAAGCCCCGGCAGAGGACAGCAACCTTTAGATTAATCTATTTATCTCACTTCCACTCATAGATTGTCATCTTTACCTTACCTATGTAACAAGTGCTTACTTACCTTCACTGCCCAAATAGATTGCTCCAAAGGATGAAAAAGTTTGAAACAAAAGCCATCCTTTTTTGATGGACGCTCAATGATTTCACAGGCATTCAGAAGGACTGTTCCTACCCACTGACCATTTTTTTGGGTTTTATAGATCAGTAGCACCCCAGGTTTCAACACACACCACAACTTGGTCCAGCTCTTTAGAGTACCACGAATCTACAGAAAGATAAGTTTATTTAAGAAATAAAGCTGTTTTCTTCCTTCTGCTCTACGAGATACAAATCTCGTAATGGCAAATAGGATGTTTTAATCTACAATTTCCATAAAATGTAGCTTTAGATTCAGTATATAGTTTTTAAAAAGCCATTAAATGGCAAGTACTGCAAATAAACACAAAAATAGCATGGCTCCTGCTTTTGAGGAACTTAAATTCTAGTGAGAGCCTGGGTCAACAGTTTCAAAATAACGTACTAAGTAGAATGGTTTTCCTAACCTTCTGGGCCAGGTCAGGGTCCTTAAAATATACTTTCCCGGTACCGAGATTCTCTTCTTCTTGGCATCTGTCACAGCTGTAACTTTACTTGAGTGAATATAAGATTATTCTACCTTTTAAGACTCTTCCCCCTTACTGCTACATCAACAGTGCTGAGAACACTGTCAGCACGCACCAGGCATTCCCTAAATATTCGGTGGGTGGTAGGAAGAGGGAAGAACGTCCTTCCAGCCCCAAACATTACCCTCTCTAATTACTTTGTTCTTAGTAATCACATAAAGTGTGCCATACAAATTTCTTGGGGGAAATTTTAAAACACAATTTACATGAATCTCTCTTTAGTCCATAAAATGTTCCTCATCCTAGGATTTAATGCTATCTCAACAATAAGTCTATAACTAGTTTTTCCTATCAATTTCTATTTCTGTAATCCATTAAAAGTATTTCTATGCAAATCACTGAATTTACAATACTGAAAAGTCATATACTATTTAGATTAAAAACTAAGAATTATCTTCACTTTTATTTAATATAAAACACCTCTTGTCTTAATGCACTTACCTAAATTATGAAACAAATATAGGGCCCCCAAACCCCCCAAATAGGCATACCACAGAAACTTCAAACAAGAAAAATTTAGAAAGAGGGAGTTTGGAGCCAGGCATGAAGAAAAGGGAAAATCTTTAAGAAAAAGTATGTGTATATTTAAAAGAGATGGAAAGACAAGAGAAGTGAAAGGAACAGTTAACCTGAGATATTCTGAATCTTGGAGATGTGACAGCAGAACGTGGATAGCAAATTATCAGAATGAAGGTAAGGTTTACAAAGTCAGCCAGGGGAGGTGTTGGAACTTTGGGGGAGTTGGTTGGGGAAACCCAATGTCAAAGACAAGAACAGGTTTAGCTCTGAAAAACTCAGGTGAGCTCTGGAGCTTACAGACTTCTAAGTAGAGCCAAAATGAGTCAGAGGTATTTTCAGCACAACATTGAAGAAGACCCCAGATTACCTGAACTATCAGGGAAACTGTCACTAGACCCCATTTTAGAAAGAGAATTCATGACAGATCTCATAAGGATTTTAGGTTGGAAACTAACTCTTTGCGAAAGTGGACAGACTTCAGCGCTGGGGTGATTTTCAGGTGGATGCCAAGTACTGAAACTTCTTGGGCCTAAGGGTCTCAGAGGGTCATTCTTAAAGTTAGCAGTAGTCTGTAAGATTCCTACCAAATATCCTTCAGATAAGAGTGAGAAAGAGGACAGAGTGACTGGGATGATAGAAAAGGAAATAAAAATAAGTGGGGATAACCAGAGGCCAGAAGAATAAGGTATGGAAACAGCCATATGGATGTCTTACTGAAAATTAATCCTTTTCAAATGATAACTTTCATATTAACTTTGTGTCATATCTTCTCAATAATGCATATACCAAGTCTACTATAATAATAAATAATTTGAATAGCAAATTATTTCTTCACAGCATATTGATTAGACTATATAATGTCATACAAATCAAAAAGCCTTTTTAAAAGAACTGCTATCCATATTTGATGTTATTGTCAAGAGAGACACTAAGATTCCTTCTCCCCATTAAGACTGGAATGTAGAACCTTTGGGATACAATTAATAGCTTGTCAGGAAACACCAATCATCCTTGGAGTTGTTTTCATCTTGCAGGCTGTAGGTGTCCTCTGGGCTTTCCTATTCTAGTAGGTAGACACCCAGCAATGTGAACTCAAAATTCAACACAAACTGACCTTCAACCAATCAGCCATAACAATAACAGAAGGATCTGTGATTGTACTGAGTAATTCCTTTGTGGCTCTTTTCTTTTCTTCTCGGTAATTTTTCTTTTGCACCTATTTTAGAAAAACAATAGAAAAATTTAAAATTCATTAGAAATGGGAAATTTCTTCTCAATTTTTTAGCTCTGTAGACTATAGAGTGTAAAATTCTAAGTCTTTTTCAGAATTCAAGCATGTTAGGGTAAAAGAACTATTTTTCATTGTTTTTTAGAGCTGGAAGGAATTTTCAGAGAAATAAGGTTAGAATCTAGTTTTTCTGATTACTAGTCCAGTTTTCTGCATCTTTTTAAAGGATTTTATCTTTTTAAAATTATGTGATGATACATGAGGTAAAATTTCAAACAACACAAATAAAGCTAAAAGCCGTCTTTAGTATACCCTATCCTATTCCAATCCCCAGAACTGATCAATGTTAGTTAGCCTTCTCGAAAACACTATCTTTGCAGGACTTTTCTATGCACACAACCTACAGAAATATACTGCTTTTGTGTTTTTGTTTTATTAAACACATTTTTAAAGTGTTCACCCATTCAATATTTTTTGGAGCGTTTCCATGTCAACCTCCTTCTTTTAACAGCTACACAGGATTCAGAGTATGAATAAAATAACAAGAGCTAGCATTTACTGGGAACATTCTGTGCGCCAGTCATTGCTCTAAGCACTTTACATGTATTAACCTCATTTAATCTTCACAATAACCTTCAGAAGTGTGACTATTATTATCCTATTTTACAGAGAAGAAAACCGAGGCACAGAGAGTAATTTGCCCAGGATCACACAGCTAGAAAGTCATGGAAGCAGGATTCAAGCAGAGGCAGACGGCTCAAAAAGACATGAGCTTAACCACCAGCTAAGCTTCTGTACTGCTTCTACAGTTCTTCTTAATAATACGTTCTCTTCCTGATGGAAGTCTACTCTGTTATCAGCTTTTTCATATTACAAACAAGGTCACAATTGCTTACAACTGGCAATTTTGCTCTCTTTCCTGATACTAATATGTAAGATATAAATAATTAAGAAAGCACGATGAACTTAATTGACTCAAAACATCAAATTTTACCTTCATAAGTCACTCTGAAGATAATCTGGGAAAGCAGCAGTGGATTAATGTAGTCTTATTATTGCTTTCTTGTTATTAGACAGATGGGAGAAGAGTGGTGATAATCTATCAGTGATATATATATTTTTTAACTATAACACAAAATCTTCCTAGTTGCATTTAACGGTAAAGAGACTTTTAATTAATAATTCTATAGCTGAAAAACTGGAGACTTTTGGTCTTTATTAATATGCATATCTGAATTAACAGTTAATTTAATATGGGATTGCAAATGCAAATGCAAATGCATACAGGATCAGATAAGAAAACAACGGGGTAAAATAGACTACACAGGGATCAGCTGGAAAGCTTGTGTTCCTTAAGCTCCAGGATCTATGGCCATTCTGGAAGGCAGGCCCAATATTGCATATTTCTAAAGAGAAGAAAGAAATCTGAACTTGATTTGTTAGCTCAAATTTTTAAAACACTGTGTAGGCCAAACAAAATATGTCTACCTGTGGGCCAATTCAGCCCAAGACCTAGCAGTCAGTAAACTCTAGTTTCAAAAGATACCAGAGCTTCCCATCAGGTGTTCTGCAACACAGCGATGAGCCTGACTCTGGTACGATGTGCAGAGATACCCAGTCCTCGTCCTCAGTGGCCAGGTGAAGCCTGAAGCAGCGCTGGGCGAGCCAGGAGACAGCCTTTTAAGGTGACTCCAGTGCGACAGACAAACAGTAACATTTTTTATGTGTGCCTGTCTGGGTATTTTTTTCTTCTTTTAGGAAGACACATACAGATCTTCCTTAACTTACAGTGGGGGTTATATCCAGATAAACCCATCATAAGTTGAAAATACCACAACTCAAAAATGCATTAATACACCTAACCTACCGAATATCACAGCTTGGCCTAGCCTACCTTAAATGTGCTTGGAACACTTACATCAGCCTATAGTTGGGCAAAATCATTTAACACAAAGCCTATTTTCTAATAAAGTGTTGAAAATCTCATGTATTCATTGAACACTGTACTGCAAGTAACAAACAGAATGGCTGTCTAGGTACAAATGTTCTAAGTGCATCAGTTGTTTGCCCTTGTGATCGTGGGGCTGACTGGGAGCTGTGGCGGCCATTGCCGCTGCCCAGCATCACCAGAGAGCATCATACAGCATGTTGTTAGACTGGGGAAAGATCAAAACTCAAAGTATGGTTTCCAGTGAACATGTATTGCTTTTGCACCATCGTAAAGTCAAAAAATCCTAAGTCTAACCATTGTGAATTGTGGACTGTCTGTATTTATTTATTTTATTAGGCTACTTTCACAAACATATGCAAAGCATAATGTTAGTTATGAAATAAATGTGGAAACTAACCTTGAGAGATTCTTTTTTTGTGAGCTTGCTGGAAGTTGAACTATCCTTCTCCGAGCCATTATAAAGTTTAGATTCAGACTGAAAGCACATAAAAATGAACAAAAGAGAAATAATAATTAAAACCTTCACTTATTCTACACATATGGCATATACAGATCAATGTTAAGGCTATGTGTCTGACATTCTTCCCATTTATTGCTGTAATTTAAGCAAATGCCAATTTTCAAATACCGATTTTCCCTAAAGTACAGCATTTGGGTTTAAAAACAAATCCACAGTAAACACACAAAAACAAAAATAAAAACTAAGAAATTAATCTACAATGAGAGGTTATATAAAATTATGTGTAAATTTTTGCATTCTATTTTCCAGGATACTTCTAAGAAACGTATACCACTATTTAGTTATGCTTAGGAGAAAAGTATCCAAAGCAACGTTATTTTGCAACAGGTGAAATAGTCTAAATAAAAAAACCAAACCCTGTGCATTCTAATAAATTGCTGCATACACTGCCTTGTTGCTACTCCTTCTCCAAGGGAAGAAATATACACATCTTCAGATTAAATAGTATTCAGATTAGATAGTATTAAAACACCATCTAATTTGTACAGTGTTCAAAAACTAACATTCCTAGTACCTACTACTTCCTACCTATCCAGTGCCCCTAAATTATTATTAATGCCTTAAATGTGTTTCTGGACTTTGCTTATACCTCATATTTTCATTTGATCTTCATAAGAACCTTGAAAAACAGGCATAACAAGTGGTTTTACCTGCATTTTACAAATCCTGAGAGGGAGGCTGGGGGAGGATGATTTTCCAAACAACGATATAGCAGGAATCTGAACCTTGGTCTCCTAACTCGGCACTCCTTTAAGGACACTACACTCTTTCACCAGAGCAGAAGAGCATACAACTAAAAGCTGCTTCTATAAATCCTGGAACAGTGAAATTAAACATTCCTTCAATGTCCTATGATTTTCAATTTTGCCGATTGTTAGACACGGGAGAAGGTACTTAAGTTCTTAGCATTACTCCTAGTGCCAAGAAAGTATATGGGGGCTTAATCCAAATGGTGGCTTTCAAATGCTGAATGGCCAGATCTGCATAATATCACTAGATGTGATTAAGGATAAAAAGCTTTGGGTATAAACTCCCTCACTCAATTTTAAGACCCATGAGGGCAGGAACCATGTTTATTCACCAATGATACCCAGCTATCACCTGGGGAAAAGGAAGGGCTCAATAAATATCTGAGGAATTAACAGAACAAAAATGAAACTAATATCTGCAGCTCATTTTTCTCATCTCTCCTAAAAATGCCTCTGCTCTTAGTATAAAATATGGGTTATCATAGTGATGGTAATAACTGGCTGAACCAGAAGGGAACTGCAAACTACATTCAGTGGAGAAGGTGGGGATCAACCTAACTGAAGTTTTGTTCAAGTTACTCCTTTGAGAACTGGACTTGAAACATCACATTGCTTACTGCCATGACAATAGTATACTTTGTGATACCGAAACAGTTTCACAAAATTCCTCAAGCCAAACAGGTGTCTGTCTTCTCCTTGACCCTGGAACCCAAAGACGGCATGGCTACTGTCAGAGGAATATGATGGTTTCTATTTCCCAGAGCTTAAGAGGAAAACGTGTATTATACCGTACTCCTTAGATACTATTAAATGAAGAATACTAAAATATTAGCTTAAAAGCTAACGAAAATTAGTGGCTGTTTACTAAGTACTATGCTAAACACTTTCTGTGTACTACCTCATTCAATCCCCAAAGCAACCCTATGAGATAGTAATAGTATCTTCCTTTTGCTAATAAGGAAACTAAGACCAACAGATTAAATCACTGCCCAAAGTCACAGAGCCAGTAAGGAGATAAGCTGGGATTTGCACCCTGATCTACCTAATTCCCAGTCTCATGCTCTGAGCCATCTCACTATATGATTTCTCACCCTTTAAAACTGTTCATATAGAATCTCAGTCACTCAAACTTAAGACATCTTCATAAACAACAGGAAATCTGTTTCCCCAACTTGACAAGATCTGGTGTGTGATTCCTAAAAGATTCTAGTACATAAGGGTGTCACATCTTGATATTAGAGCACTTCAAGGAACCCCTGCCATACAGTGTAGCTAGTCCTGAAAAACAGACAAAAAAATGATCCAGTGACCAAGTTCTACAGTCTCTTTAATACATTCCTCTCTAAGTTTTCTGAATCAACAGGTTACTTTTTAAAATACCAAAAACCATACACTATTTTTGTTGGAAATATTTTACTAGACTAAGTTTTCCTCCTTTTATAACCTTACTGACCACTATCTTAATGACAAGCACAGGGTTTAATGTATAGTACCGCTCGTCTCTTCGTTAAAGGGCCTTAGAATGCTCAGCAAGTTATATTTTTACTTCTTTTTCTTTCTTTCCTTCTTTTCCTTTTCCCTACTTAACTGCTGTCCCCTTATGTGCTATGTGACTTTGGGAAGTTGTTCAATCTCTTTCAGTCTTAGTTTCCTCATCTGTAAAATGAGGATATTCCTACTAACTCACAGGGTTGTTCTGACATAGAGTGCATGATATGCTCAACACAATACTTGGTATATATTGTGATTCAGGTTCTATAATCTAGATTGCAAGCACTGTCAAAAATCTGACCTTTAGATAAATGGAATAGTATTGTATGAGAACACTTCTGACTTGCTTTGAAAACAATAAAATACTGCAGATATAAGGAATACAACAATAATGATGTTACTATGACTGTATCAGATATTTTGGTTTGGAAAGGTTTTTTAAATGTCCAGGTAAATATATTTTTTACAGAGAGTGATAAATGATTTAGCAAACCTACAGACAAACAGATTGATGGCTGGAATCAAGTCAAGAGATCTGGATTCAGAAGCCCCTTATCCTTATCATAGGATTTCTTTTATCCCACTAGACACATTACTCATGCTGGCAATTCCTTTTGTTGAGATGGACAATTAAAAATTCATTAAAAAATGCTAACAGGAAGATAGGATGATTTGATTAACTGATTTTTCCAATTTGCTCATTTATAGGATGACTGAGAAACAAGAACTGCCTTTATTTAAAAAATTGGGGGGGAAGCAGTAAGGAGGGTGTATTCCATTGTGCTTACTGGTCTCAATTACGTATTTTAAGAAATAACACTTAACCTCAATCAAATCCTATGACCAAGATGACAGTATTGATACTTTTTGCATCAAGTTAAAAAAGTATATGGTTAAAATTGTTTGATGGTTTCAGTTATACAGATCAATCATAGAAGAAATAACAAAATTTTGTTTCCCAAAGCTACTTAGGTAAGAATAAAATCTTCAGAATTCTATGAGAATGAGGTTTAATGATAAATGCATACATTTTAGGATGGGTCTGAAAAACAACAAAGTAGATTATATATTAAAATATTTAAGGACAAATTAGTGACTCTGCACCTCTTAAGATAACAGAATAAACCAAGATTAAATCTAAATTAAGATAAAATCAGTAAGTTTTAGCTCTTGGAAAATAACGGGACGAATACAATTTAACTTATACCAAATAGTTACCTTGCTGAGAATCCCACTCATTCACTGTAATTCTTTATTCAAAAGAAGAAAATGAATTCTTAAATACCTATTCTTAACCAGGTCCTTTGTCAGGCACTTGCAGCATCACAATCTGGGAGGTAGATCTTATCTCCCTTGCACATATAAAAAATGCGAAGCCCCTCTGAATTCCAGCTCACCACTTTGATCCTTGGAGAGTTATTTTTCTTAGCTTCAGTTTGTTCACTTATAAAATGGGGCCAATAATACCTGTCTTCTAGTATTGTTATGAGAGTTAAAATGATACAAATCAAGCTCTTAATACAAAGTAGCTACTAATATCATCATAATTAGCATCTAAGAAGTCATAGGTAATGTACGAGGGTCAAGATTCAAAGTCACTTTTTTGACTCTAAAGTAGTACTGTACAGTAGAACTTTCTGAATGACAGAAATGTTCTATATCTGAGTTGTCCAATATGGTAGCCACTAGCCATAAGTGTCTACTGAGCACTTGAGATGTAGCTAGTGTAACTGAGGAACTGAATTTCTAATTTTATTTAATTTTAATCGATTTAAATTTAAGGAGTCATTTTTACTAGGTGCTCTTGTACTCAAAGGGAAGCTCTGAAGCCTATGTTTGTTTTCCTCATTAATGCACACTGCTTCATTAAGGTATGTAAAGTGTCATTTCGGGTCCCCCCATTTAGAGACTACGCATGGGTGGCTGTGGTATGTAGGACTGGGGTTTATGTGGTTAGGCTTTGACTATTATACCATACTTTCACCAATTCTGGTATGAACTGCTTGAAAACAGGTTTTTTAATTCTATAAATTTCACTGTATTTCTAGCCATGGCAGACCCACGAATAAATTATTTCCTCTTCAATTTTCTTTAATTATACATCTCATACAAAATGATCAAGGCATTTCTCATGTGTATGTTATATACATACAAAGTACTATTTAACTTCCATCCGAAGTACTTTTACATTTATGATAGATGGACCTTTATGTAATGAATACTGAAGAGTGCAAATAAAACTTGTGTAAAATTATACATAAAAACATATCATGGAATCTTCTCAATTACCCCCAAGAATAGGGACAAAAAATATAGGGTTTTAAAAGCAAAGCCTACCGCTGAGAATAGCAGAGAATTTACTAGCTTAAGAAACAGGTTTTCCTACAGTCATTGAAGTTTGATTCCACAAACATAAGAGCTTCTCCTGCTACTAAACCTGACCAGAAATGACAGTCAAAAGTCGTATCCCTTGACAAATTATAGAAACTCTAGTGAATTACAAACCCATAGGGAAACCAATGCATCCGTGTTTCTCAAATTTGAATATGTACTTAAAGAAAAATTCTCAACAGACCTAAGAATATGTACAAGAATCTCAGTTTGAGAACTACTAATTTAGAGAACTATGTCTCATTCTAAGAAAATGTCTCTCAATTGCAGGCTCTTATTGCAAGACATCTTTGGCCTCTAACTAGTAAAATGTACATGTTTTGATTGTCATTTGAATGAACCCAAAACAGGTAAGAATTTTGCTTAAAAAAATATGAACCCTGAGAATTTCTGTGAATGGAACCCTTAGACTTAAGTTTGAGAAGTAATGCTGTAGCAGACACTGGAAACAATATCATTCGGGAGAGAACACTGCTAACCAACAGGCTGTATTTCCAAGTAACCAACAGCCCCTAAATCAGCCCCAGTGGGAGTTTCCTTTCTTCACACATACCACAAGCTTTAGATACACCAAAATAAAAACATTCCATAAAAATCTGATAGGATTTCAGTGTCAGTTCCCTCATCTTAATATTAGAAAAATATCATAATCATATATTTGGGGACAACAATATGCTTACCTTGCTCTTTGACATAGAAAGTGAAGATTCATCTTTATTCTGAGAAATGTCTTCCTTTGTTCTTTCAAAACCTTTAAAAACATTGTCATTATCACAGTATTATTACTTTGAACACATAACAGGCATTGAAAAAGCATATATAGTTGTTAAAAGGCAATGCATTTAAGTCATTCAACTTCAAATATACATTATATTTGATGTACATCAGTGCAAGAAGCCTGACTGAACAGACAGTTTTAAACTATTACCATTTAAAGACTTCTAAGTGGTCACCTCTTGTATAATAATTCTTTAGAATAAACTAAGGCTTATAGAGGCCATGAAGTCTTTCCCTGAACTCATCAAGTTCAACAGCTCCTTGCTGTGTTCCTAGAGCACTCTGCATGAATTCAGGCTTCATGGAGCTTTTATTCTTTTCAGCTCTTCTCTAACAAAGAATCTGAACTGACAGAACCAACTCAACATGCTTTTCACACTTCTTGCCAAACTGGAAAAATTCCAGAACTGGTGATAAAAGGAAGACTAGGGAAGTAAATCTGGATTGAGGGACAGACTTAAAAAAAAAATCTATATATTTATTGTGAGAATTAAATGAGGATGCATTGAAAGAACTTAGCACAGTATTTCGCACATAGTATATATTCAATGAATGTTTTCCCTTAATGGTATCATTGTCACTGACTATTATTATATAAATTATAAAACTATAAACCCTAAATGCATGAGTGCACTGGGATAAACATACACACATCCCTGTGATGATGTAACACATTAATGTAGTCGGCCAAAAGCAATTAACAAACGAATCTTATTAGAGTACAATTAGAGAAATGTTAATCCTGAGATTCATGTGGCAGGCATAAAAGGAGCAGTAAAAAAACCCAGACACACCTCACTTTATTGCACGTGCTTCACTTTACTGCACTTTGCAGATACTGCATTTTTTTAAAAATTGAAGGTTTGTGGCGACCCTGTGTCACGCAAGTCTATCAGTGCCATTTTTACAACAGCATTTGCTTACTTTGTATCTCTGTGTTACATTTTGGTAATTCTAGCAATATTTCAGACTTTTTCATTATTATTACATTTCTTATGGTGACCTGTGGTCAGTGCTCTTTGATGTTACTATCATAACTGTTTTCGGGCGCCATGAGCTATGCCCATATATAATAGCAAACCTAATCAATAAACATTGTGTGTGTTCTGACTGCTCCAATGACTGGCCATCCCCCCATCTCTCTCCTCCTCAGGCCTCCTTACTCCCTGAGACACAGCAACATTGAAATCATGCCATTTAATAACCCTACAATGACCTTGAAGTGTCCAAGTGAAGGGAAGAGTCACACGTCTCTCACTTTAAATCAAAAGCTAGAAACGATTAAACTTAGTGAGGAAGGCATGTTGAAAACCAAGACAGACTGAGAGCTAGGCCTCTTGCGCCAAACAGTTAGCAAGTTGTGAATGCAAAGGAAAAGTTCTTGAAGGAAATGAAAAGGGCTACTCCAGTGAACACATGAACAATAAGAAAGTGAAACAGCCTTATTGCTGATACGGAGAAAGTTTTAATGGTCTGGATAGAAGATCAAACCAGCCACAACATTCCCTGAAGCCAAAGCCTAATCCAGAGCAAGGCCCTAACTCTCTTCAATTCTATGGAGGCCGAGAGAGGTGAGGAAGCTGCAGAAGAAAACATTGAAGCGAGCAGAGGTTGGGTCATGAAATTTAAGAAAAAAGCTGTCTCCATAACATAAAAGTGCAAAGCAAAGCAGCAAGTGCTGATGTAGAAGTTGCATCGAATTACCCAGAAGATTTAGCTAAGATAATTAATGAAGGTGGCTGCATTAAACAGCAGATTTTCAATATAGACGAAACAGCCTTTTATTGGAAGAAGATGCCATCTAGGACTTTCATAGCTTGAGAGGAAAAGTCAGTGGCTGGCTTCAAAGCTTCAAAGGACAGGCTGACAATCTTGTTAAGGGTTAAGGCAGCTGATGACTTTAAGCTGAAGCCAATGCTCACTTATAATTCTGAAAACCCTAGGGCCCTTAAGAATTATGCTAAATCTACTGTTCCTGTGCTCCATAAATGGAACAACAAAGCCTGGCTGACAGCACATCTGCTTACAACATGGCTTACTGAATAGTTTAAGGCCACTGTTGAGACCTACTGCTCAGAAAAAAGGATTGCTTTCAAAATATGACTGCTCATGGACAATGTACCTGGTCACGCAAGAGCTCTGACAGAGATGTACAAGATTAATGTTGTTTTCATGCCTGCAAACACAACATCCATTCTGCAGCCTATGGATCAAGGAATAATTTCGACTTTCAAGACTTATTATTTAAAAAATACATTTCATAAGACTGTAGCTCTCATAGATGGTGATTCCTCTGATGGATCTGGGCAAAGTCAATTGAAAACCTTCTGGAAAGGATTCACTATTCTAGATGTGATTAAGAACATTTGTGCTTCATGCGAAGAGGTCAAAACATCAACATCAACAGGAGTTTGGAAGAAGTTGATTCCAACCCTCGTGGATGACTTTGAGGGGTTCAAGATTTCAGTGGGAGAAGTAACTCTAGATGTAGACCCTCCACCAGTAAAAGATTATGACTCACTGGACGCTCAGATGATGGTTAGCATTTTTTATAAATAAAGTTTCTTTTGCTATGCATACTTTTTTAGACATAATGCTAATAAACACTTAATAGACTACAATATAGTGTAAACATAGCTTTTATATGTACTGGGAAACCAAAAAATTCATGTGACGAACTTCATTGAGATATTCGTTCTATTGTGGTCTGGAACCAAACCCACAATATCTCCAAGGTGTGCCTGTACTCAGTTCAATGAAGTTCTTTCAACTTTTGAGGGCAAGTAATATTAACTCTTCCCTATAGTTACTTGTTCTGAGTCCAATAAAAGCCTATACCAAAAATACATAAACTATTATTCATAAAGCAACACAAAAAATCATCAGTAGCACCAGTGCCTGAAGCATTTAAAAATCATTTCTAGCATATCAACGATACCATCTATTCTGTATTTGGTTTCATATCAGCTAAAAACAAATCTACTCCATTTTCATAATCCAGACATTTTACTGAAATTTTTATGTAGTATGAAGAAGGAATCTTTTTTTCTTTTTCTGGTAAGGAGAAGGATCACTCAAACCCAATACTAGCGAAAAAAACTGTTTCATAAATGCAGCATGGAATTTTAAATGAAAACTTACTGGAATTTGAAACTTTAGTGTAAAAGAAACCAAAGTTACATAATTCAGTTTAAAAATTCTAAGATATTTATTCAGAGTAATAAAAATTTTGTAGCAAGTAATTCTTAATACTAATGAACTAAAAAATTACTTGAAAGTTCTAAATACATATGGAAGAAAAGATTTTCTAAAAATATATACTGTAAATGAAAAAAAGTTTTCTTTTAGTCCTGTAAATACAGATTTTCACTTCAATTTCTCTAGTGAGGTCTTAGTTTCAGCTGAATCTAGACCTATCTATTTACAAGATCAGGAAAAATACCCACTTCATTGTAGCCTCATTCACATATTATTTTTAAAACAGAACAGTAAATTAAAACAAAAGTAGAAGTTAAAAACCCAAACAGACTCTCTCTTCAACATACAAATATGTCTTGTAAAAAGTTTCAAATGTTGTAAAAGGACATTCATAAACCACAATTCTATATTATCTGTCAAACCCAATATATGAATCCCATTCTAAAAGATTCTCTATACCTCTAATTTGAAAATCAAATTATTTTAAAAGCTGATCTGATGACTTTCAAGTTATGTAAAAGTACAGAGGGATAACTGCTGGGTATTTATCCAAAGAACATGAAAACACTAATGCATAAACATATATGCACCCTTACATTCATCGTGGCATTATTCACAATAGCCAAGAGTTGGAAGCAAACTGGGTGCCCATCAAGAGATAAATGGATAAAAAAGATGTGGTATATCTACACAATGGAATACTACTCAGCCATAAAAAAAAATGAAATCTTGCCATTTGCAACAACATGGTCAGAACTTAAGGGTATTACACTAAGCGAAATAAGCCAGAGGGACAAAGTGAAATATTGTACAATCTCATTCATAAACAGAAGATAGCAACAACAACAAACACATAGAGACAGAGATTGAACTGGTGGTTACCAGCAGGGAAGCGGGGAGGGAGGAGGGCAAAAGGGGTGAAGAGGTCCATGTGTATGGTGATGGATGGTAATTAGTCTTTGGGTGGTGAATATCACGTAATCTACAGAGAAATCAAAATATGATGATGTGTACTTGAAATTTATGTAATGTTATAAACCAATGTTACCTCAATAAAACAAATAATAAATTGGGGGCCCGGTGGTGTAGTGGTTAAGTTCGTGTGCTCAGCTTTGGTGGCCCGGGGTTCACTGGTTCAGATCCCAGGCATAGATGTACACACCACACATGAAGCCATGATGTGGCAGCATCCCACATACAAAATAGAGGAAGATTGGCACAGATGTTAGCTCAGGGCCATCTTCTTCACAAAAATAAACAAATAAATATTTTTAAAAAGTATAGAGGGATAAAGCAAAATGCTAAGTCTGGTCAACTACTTTTGCGCTTTAACTAAGGGCAAATAAGTAGACGATCAGCATAAAAAAAATGCAAAGAAGATAGAAACAGGTTCAAAACCCTTAAAAAGAAAATATTGCCATACTGTACACTAAGTTTTCAAGGGCAATTCCAAGGTAAGCGAAGCAAAAAGCGTCACACTAGGGACTCTGTCTTTAGACTGGATAAAGCTAGTTTCCTAAAAACGTGCAAAATAATCTTTATCTTAAAAAGTCAGTGACAAAAGTATATTTAGTAGAAGCCAAAGAGGCTCTGCCAAAATACTTCTTAGGCATTTATGTATTTTCCACCAAGTATGGGGATTCAAAATTACTTTAAAATTATTTTTATTTAAAAAAGTTTAGTGATATTTATAGTCAAAATCCTGAAGCCTATAACATATTATTGACCATTATCAATAATGCAGAAAAGTTTCAGATCATGACTTCTCACCAAGTT